AATTAGGTATGTCTAGTCTAGTGAAAAGAAGGACTAGGGGTGACATGATAGAAGTGTTCAAATATTTGAGGGGCTACTACAAAGAAGAGGGGAGTCAACTTATTTTCCAAAGCACCAGCAGGCAAAACAAGAAGTGATGGATGGAAACTAATCAAGGAGAGAAGCAACCTAGAACTAAGAGAAATATCCTGACAGTGAGAACAATCAACCAGTGGAATGGCTTGCCTTCAGGGGTTGTGGGTGCCCCATCACTGGAGGATTTTAAGAAGAGACTAGACATCCATTTGTGTGAAATGGTATAGGATCTTCTGATTGAGCAGGACTAGAAGTCCTCCAAGGTCCTTTCTAACTAATGATGATGATGATGATGATATATTTATGAGGACAAATATTGAATGAACAAGAAACCACGTATTTGTCAAGATTTCATTGGGGTGAAATAAAATTTAACAAATTAAATTAAATTCCGTTGATAAGTTTGAAAGTGTAGAACATTAAAATGTTCTTTCCCACCAGGCAATTACAATGTAGCAATGAAAATCTTGAAGGATAACCTGGCCAAAGAAATTGCTTAAAATCTTGTTGATCCACTTAAGTGTGAAGAAATTAAAAAATATGGCCTTTTAAAATATTAATCATATTACATTAAATTCATTTTAACTGTATTTATCTTGCCCCAGGTACTGATCAGAATTCTAGATCATCTCTCTCTTTCTTATTTCATTTGTGCAAGAATTGGAAATAAACTTTAAATTACTGATTCTGAAAAAGATTTCTCTGAATCATTGTGCCAAGTTAAACAAAATAATCATAAATCAGATTTAGATCAGGGGAGTTGACGTTCCAGCTTTCACTTGCCTACAGAGTTTATTGGGTGACTCTGGGCCACCTGTCTGAGCAACTTAATTCTTAACATTTTTCTGGGGATGAAAAAGGGTGATACACCAATATATGGGATCTTAAGCTTTCAGACAAAAGCTAAGTACTGTATAAATGTGATAAATAAATAGTAACACATAGTAAGGCATAAAGATCTCTCTGAAGGTCCAAATCAGATGAGAATAGGAGGTTGCTGGGAAAGTTTGCTCTTAAACCATCCAGTCTCACAGGGGTGTAATTGGGAAAAATAGGGAGAGGGAGACTGAGGTACACTATTTGAATTCCTGAATGTCATGTGCATTCTGTGTGTTCTCAGGATTTCATGAAAAACATAGCAGAATATCTCTTAATGCATTTTCTCTGTATATATGCATGTAATGTTGCACCCTGGTCTACAGAATCATCTACATATTTTCTGTTGAAAAATAAGATCTAAACTTACTGGCTTGTTTCTTTTTGAGGCTCATGATAGTATTATTTTTTTGGGGGGGGAGGGGCAGGTAGAACAGTTTTCCTCTCTCTTCTGGCTCCCCTCCTCCCAATAGATTGTCTCATGTTGGTCTCCAGTTGCTCAGGAAGTCTTCAGCTCCTCCTACTAATGATCACTTCAAGAATGATCCTGGTCTATTCTCAAACCTGAAGCCAGCCAATCTGAAGTACACCAACCAATAGTGTTCAATACTATAACAGCAATGTCTTCAAAGGCTATTGCTATCTAGATATCAGGTTGCTGGAGTACTCCTCTTTCTTCACAGAGATTTGTTTTCCAAAACACTGCTTTCCCTTTAACAGCTTGGCACCTCCTCTTTCTCTCTCCTATGGGAAAATCTTCTGATGGGCTTTACCCTTTGTAGAACAAAGAGTTTGGTTGTGTGGCTACCATCATGGCAGATTCAGCATGAGGTATGGCTTCTTGTGAGCTGTTGAGACAGAATATAAATCTAAGGAATTAATAAGATCTCCTTCAAGCATAGCTCAACTCCAGATTATTTCATGACATATCAACCTATTTTGCATGGCAACAATATGAAGATGATTTGCCAGTGCCTTCATCTGAGATGTTTTTCATCTTTCCAGGCTAGTTTAAAATTCTGACATGCAAGAATTCCCATAGAACTTCTAACCAGGCCAAGTTCTTCTCTACTTTTGAATTCTGTGGCATATCAGTTATTAACATAAAGCCATACATCTTTTAGAGATCCATCTTAAAAACTTACACCTAGAACAAGTGAAGTATCAATAATACTTACTTCAGATATAATTCACAGTCTGCATTATCCCTTTTCTTGCTTCTTTTTATTTAATCCTTAAATATCCCCATTGACTGATCTTCCCTTTACCCACCGTTACATTTTAATCATTTACTTATTCATCTCTGTTTAATATGTGTATAAAAAATGATGGACAGGTTGCATAAATTGTGTGGAAAACCCTTAACATAGAAGATGATTAGATAAGAATAAATGAAAACTCAAAAGTGCCTGAGTACACACTGTAGACTTCTAATAAATGCACAATGACTACGTGACCGCAGCTAGGTACCAGGCTTGGCTGAATCAATTTGCAGAAGAAAATATCTATGTATGCACAATTATTGGGCAACTATTAGTGCGAGAAGTATTATGCAACTAAATGAAAAATGAAAATTTTCCCATCTCACTCATTTATTTTTGTCTGTTAAAGTGAGAATAATAAACAACTCAAAATTTACAAATAAACATTTATGATAGTTCAAAAAAAATATATCAGTGACCAATATAGCCACCCTTCTTTTCAGTAACAGTCATTAGCCTTCCATTCATGGAGTCGGTCAGTTTCTTGATCTGTTGATGATCAACTTTTTGTGCAACAGCAACCACAGCCTCCCAGACACTGTTCAGAGAGGTGCACTATTTTCCTTCACCATAAATCTCCTGTTTAAGAAAGTCCCACAAGTTCTCAATAGGATTTAGATCAGGTGAGGAAGGGGTCATATCATTCTTTCATCTTTAAAGCCTTTACTTTAAAGTAAAGGCTTTAAACTCCACGCAATGGAGTACTTCAATGCATGCGATGGAGCATTGCCCTGCATAAAAATCATGGTCTTCTTGAAAGATGCAGACTTTTTCCTGTACCGCTGAAGAAAGTCTCTTCTAAAAACTGGCAGTAGGTTTGAGAGTTGATTTTGAATCCATCTTCAACCCAAAAAGATCCAACTCGCTCATATTTCATAATATCAGCTCATACCAGTACCTCACCTCCATCTTGATTGCGTCTGAGTCGAAGTGGAGCTCTGTGCCTGTTACTGATCTAGCCATGGGCCCATCCATCTGGTCTGTCAAGAGTCACTCATCAGTCATCAAACCTTTGAAAAATCTGTCTTCAGATATTTTTTGGCACAGTCTTGCCGTTTCAACTTATGTGTCTTGTTCAGTGGTCAGATTTCAGCCTTCCTTACCTTGGCCATGTCTCTGAGCACTGAACACCTTGTACCTCTGGGCACTCCAGGTAGGTTGCAATTCTGGAATATGACAGCATTGGAGGATAATGGATTCCTGGTAGCTTCACGTTTGATTCTTCTCAAATATTTGACAATTTGCGTCTTTTTTTCTCAACACGTTTCTTGCAACCCTATTGACTATTTACAACAAAACGTTTGATGGTTCTGTAATCATGCCCCAATATCTGAGCAATTTCAAGAGTGCTGCATCTCTCTGAAAGACTTTTTACAATTTTTGACTTTTCAGTCAGTTAAATCTCTTTTTTAGCCCATTTTGCTTGAGGAAAAGAAGCTGCCTAATAATTATGCACACTTTGATATAGGGTGCTGATCTCCTTAGGCCACACTCTCCCTCATTACTCAAATACACATCACCTAATCTTCTTATATCCACTAAGCATTCAAGTTTATACAGCTTGGAGGTGGGAAATATGCATACAAAGGATGATAAGGTCAAAATACTCAATTGCCTAATAATTGTGCACACAGTGTACAATATTTCAGTGCTGTCATCCCATAGATTTATATAAAGTTGTTCGCAATTTTATTGATTGTTTTGGAATTATTTCTTTCATTTTAGCCATGTGAAAGTAATGTGGTGTTGGCTCAAATATTGTTTTGCCTTAATTCTATTTATGACTAGGAAAGGACCAATTTGTGATGTCTTTTCTTATCTAGGAAGCACTGCAGCTCCAAAGAAAGCAAACAATAAGCCTATTCTCTTACAGCTAGATTTTGGACTTCCATCCATTTTCTTTTATATTCCACTTCTATGATTTTTATAAATAACTCGTGATAAACATATGTACTACTCCCTACTCTGATTTCCCCCACAACAACAATCCTGTGGGATGAGTTGGATGCATTGAATGTGACTGGCCTGACATAATCCAGTTGGCTTTCATGGCTAGGCTAGGCTAGAATTCACAGTCTTCTGGTTTCTAACTGTCTGGTGCCTTAACCACGAGAGTAATTGCTTACATTATCAGCAGAATTACATTGAAAGAGGAAGGAGGATGGTTTTTAATTACGGCGATTATTTTGCAAGTTTTCCACTAGATAATCTGAATCTGCTCTTCTTTGTAATTTTACATATCAATAAATTCCCTTACTGCATTTAATTAATTGTTAGTTAGCTAACATCAAAGTGGCATATATGGCTCAAGGCAGCCATCAACATCCCTGTAAGTAGGCTGGGCACAGACAGTGACTGGCCCGAAGTCACCCAGTGAACTAGAACTCGGCTCTCCCCAGTGGATCAAATCAAGAAAAGCTGTTTTATAATTGCTATTTTGTTTGTAGGCATTATAATCAGTTACTAGTCCCCCTAATATAAGTAGTATGATATATTTTAAAAGCTTACTGAAGAGTGCAATCTAAAATGCATGTAGTCTAAAATGATTGTAGTTCAGACATCATGTTAAATACAGTTTAAAATGTCATTGTTGAGTCATCTGGAATAAAAATGAGAATATTTAATTTATAGTAAGTAAGATAAGATAAGAAATAGGTAGATGATGATTAAGAGAGGTGGCCCGCAAAATGGAAATGGCTAAGATATACTTAAATTGGGGAGGGCACAATCTGCTACTGTATGAATTATAAAACTTTGTGTTTCCTATTTTCTGTTTCCTATTTTCAGAAGGTGCTGGCTCTCTGCCTTGGACAGGAGGTTCTGCACCAAAACCTGGCAAGCCTAAAGGGAAGAAAAAGTTTTCTTCGGTTCGGCAGAAGTTTGATGTAAGTTTCTGTTATGAGAATTGGAAGCACACAGCAGTTCCATTTCAAAGTCCTTGTTACCCCACCAGAATACGTACTATACCCAGAAGCATTCATTACACTTTGCAGTTTTTTCCCTTCGCCAGTACAGAGTAGAGTATGGGAAAGCATGGGTAATTCAGTACACTGTTTCTAATTTGGACAACAGCCACATATGCAGTGTTGCCCTAGGTCCGTGATGGCAAACCTATGGCACGCATGCCACAGGTGGCACGCAGAGCCCTCTCTGTGGGCACGCAAGCCGTCACCCAGCTCAGCTCCACCCCACATGCGTGTGCGCCTCCTGCCAGCCAACTGATTTTCGGTCTCTGCTGGGCATGCGCGGGTGGTAGGGAACATGTGGGAGCCGCATGTGCAGGCCTGGGGGTTGAGTTGCAGGGGCGGGGTGAGCTTGGGTGTGTGTGTGGCGCCCCCTGTGGCCCATTTTGGGCCTAGCAGGCCTCCCTGCAGCCTCCTGGGACCAAAAACAGGCTGCAGGGGAGGGCGCACTGCATCCCCCTGCAACCCTTTTTGGTCCCAGAAGGCTGCAGGGAGGCCTGCTAGGCCCAAAATGGGCCGTGGGCGGATCGCATGCATGTGGTGGGGGCGGGGGGAGCCCGGGGGGGCTGTGCGTGCATGGATGGGGCACGGGGGGGTGTTGTGCGCGCATTGCATTATGGGTGCAGACACGCACACTCAGGCTTTCAGCACGCAACAACACAAAGATTAGCCATCACTGCCATAGGTTGTAACACAACCAAAAATATTTGCATACCTCTATTTCTCTTATTTAATGTAAATCACTGAAAGAAGACTTTCCAAGAAATGTGAAAGACTTTTACAAAGATCTGAATGGTAATGAAAAAAGATAAGAAAGGAAGATGGCATTAAAACTGAGGCTTGTTTTATCCCATGCAAATGTTCATGACAGCATATAAATTAAATGAATGGCAATAAAATTAACAAAATTTGTAGCTATAGTGGGAACAGATAGAGTAATCTAACATCACTAACGTTTGCAAAGAGTAAAGTGAATTTTAAATAAAACTTGCAAATGCTTTAAAATGTGATGAGAACCAGATGGTAATTTTGGGCAAGGAGTTCCAGAACATTGTTACTCCAAAATTCCAGGTTTTTTCCATCTTGGTTTATATTGAATCTTCTAGAATTTAGGGTAGACTTGAATGAATTCCCTTAATTTTTTCAGTTCTAGGCTAGGATCCATAGATTGCAATTAAGACACTGTAATGGGGAGTACACTTTAACATTAGGGCTGCTGAGGACTGCAGCAGGGGAGACCGTCAGTCTCTAAGTGGGCAGGTAAGAAAAAGAAAAATTGGTCTCTTGAGTCAAGCTTAGTGACTGCATAGACTTGTCCATTGGGCAGTGGCAATAATATGCATGTGGCTTGCTCTTGGCTTCTCAGAGCAGATTAGATTTGTTGGATTCTGTCACCACGGAGGATAGTGGACAGGACAGTAAACTTCTATTCTTTTCTTACCCTCCTTTTTTGTTTGCTTGTTGTAGAGACATTGTCTAATCACTTTGATCCACTTCAGAACTGCTTATTGTCTAACTTAGACAACACCCTTGTCTAAATCCGAAGCACAGGGAGCATGCAGGGAGCGACCTTCATTTTGGTGAGAGCAGTGCAAGCCTCTAGAGAACTCAGAGCAGAAATAACTCCTAATTAACCCAAAGACTAAGCTGTTTAATCTCTAATAAGGGGAATTTAGACAGATTAGGTGACTACAGCTTCTCTCCCATTGAGATAAAATAGAAAGAAGAAGGGAGACAGAGGCTTTCCTGATGTTGAGACTCTAGAAAGAGTGCAGAGAAGAGCAACGAAGATGATTAGGGGACTGGAGGCTAAAACATATGAAGAACGGTTGCAGGAACTGGGTATGTCTAGTTTAATGAAAAGAACGACTAGGGGAGACATGATAGCAGTGTTCCAATATCTCAGGGGTTGCCACAAAGAAGAGGGAGTCAAACTATTCTTCAAAGCACCTGAGGGTAGAACAAGAAGCAATGGGTGGAAACCAATCAAGGAGAGAAGCAACTTAGAACTAAGTAGAAATTTCCTGACAGTTAGAACAATTAAAAAGTGGAACAACTTGCCTGCAGAAGTTGTGAATGCTCCAACACTGGAAATTTTTAAGAAGATGTTGGATAACCATTCGTCTGAAGTGGTGTAGGGTTTCCTGCCTGGGCAGGGGGTCCGACTAGAAGACTTCCAAAGTCCCTTCCAACTCTTCTCTTCTCTTCTCTTCTCTTCTCTTCTCTTCTCTTCTCTTCTCTTCTCTTCTCTTCTATTCTATTCTATTCTATTCTATTCTATTCTATTCCTTTTGAATAGAAGGAACAGCAGCTGCCAGTAGAGAAGGAAAGAAAGGCATCTAAGCATACACATGTACATCCACTTTCCCTAGTAAATTCTTGCAAGGCACAAGAAGGAATCAAATCAATATAGACTTCAGGGTTGTTAAAGGTACCATTACAGGATGTAAGTTGTTCCAGTCCATTGCCTTTTGCAATGGACTGTTAGTGATTTTGTCAATGCCAATAGTATTCAGCGAGTGGTACTCCAGATATTTTGAGATTGCACCCAAGGTGCCTACTGCTGTTGATATTATCCTTGCTTTTTTTTTACCACAGTTCTTCTTCTCCTAGTTGCAGATCTTTGTAGTTTTTGAATTTCTCCATTCTTCCTCTTCTATTCTGCTGTCCCCAGATGCTGCAACATCCACTATCCAGACCATTTTGTTTTTTTGATTAACAATTGTTAAGTCTGGAGTATTATGTTGTCGGTTTCAATTTTAAAGTCCCAGAGCACTTCTCTATTTTCAATAACTCTATTTTGCGCTCCCAAAAGTTCCTGTTTGCAGGCAAACAGTATTTCTTGAAGATATTCTTAACGCATCATTGTTGCTAGTTTGTTGTGCTGTTACTTGCAATCAGTCTGTGCAATCTTCTGGCAGCACCTGATGACTATTATTAGTATTTTATGGCCAAAAGGCCGAAATACAGTAAATATATAATATCATTTCTCTGTATTTCTATAATTGTATAAAAATATTTAATTTTTTAGGTAAATGGGTATGGAAAAGAAATTGGGCACTAAAATAACATTCATAGCAATTATTTATTTATTTATTTATTTATTTATTTATTTTCTTTCTTACTTATTCATTCGTTCATTTGTTCGTTTACTTATTTATAATTTATGTGCCACCCATTTTATCAGAGATGACTCTGATTTAGATTATTTTTGCTATCTATTTTGTTTCTAGGCATTTAAACCATCATCATAAAGGGAAGAAATGAAATTTTAATATTCATTTCAGATTTTTTTAGTGGAAACAGTAAAAAAAAACATCTTAGTATAGATTAGCATCATGGGGGATATTGTCTTTAGAACAGGGGTCTCCAACCTTGGCAACTTTAAGATTTGTAGACTTCAACTCGCAGAATTCCTCAGCCAGCAAAGCCAAAGCAAAGCTGGCTGAGGAATTCTGGGAGTTGAAGCCCACAAGTCTTAAAGTTGCCAAAGTTGGAGACCCCTGCTTTAGAAGACTACTAAATGAAATCTAATACAAAAATGATTATTTTTTAACCTTAAGCCATAGCTGAGTGATAATCAGTACATACAAATGACATAACATTTTCCTGTTTGCAAATGTTATTAGTTTATCAAAATATAAAATATAATTAGGAAAATTAAAAAATGGGAAAATAGGGGAAGGAAAGAAAGGAAAGGGAATAGAAGAGTTAAATGTGACGTGGAAGGCGAAAAAGAAAGAAAAGACATTGACTTCCAACTCTCTTTAGTACAGTTAAAGATAGCAACATTACAGCCTCAACTTTTTACTTTTACGTATTAGTATATAGTAGCCATTTCTACAGCAACTAATCTCTCCAATCAACAAAACCAAAATCAAAATGTTACTTTTTTCCATCACAAGCACAAAATCCAGAAATGATTTCCAAATAGAAACATAATTAGTTATATTTTCCTCTTCAAATAAAGCAATCAATTTAATCATCTCTGCTTTTTCTTCCTTGCAATCAATTTAACCATCTCTGCTTTTTCTTCCTTGCTGTGGAAATAATATCTATATCTGTTTGCACTTATTAAGATTTATAAACTATTATTGTTTATATTAAAAAAATCATTATATTCTTTCAGATTCTTTAACTTTAAAGGAAAAAACACCTTTTTTACTTTTTTAACTTTCTCTTAACGTACATACTTTAAAATTCACTTTCAGTAATATTTTACAAGCTTTAAAAATAACTCAAACAATTATATATGAAAGAAAAAAACCATTTTCAAACCTTCTTTATAACAAAACAAAAAGTACATTAAAGATTTCTTCTGATTACATATCCTGTTTTCCTCAAAATAAGACATCCCCTGATAATAAGCCCAATTGGGCTTTTGAGCGCATGGCAATAAGGTCAAGTCTTACTTCAGGTTCAAAAAAATATAAGACAGGATCTTATTTTCGGGAAAACACAGTAGTTCTTCAATTTGTTGGGGAAGATCATCCAGGAATGGGTGGTGCTCTGCTTGGAGACCGAGTCAATCTTTCTTGGCCATGCCTCCCCTTGCCTGGACGCTCCCCAGTTCGACTTGGTCTTCCACGAGTTGAGACTGAGAAATGAGACTCACCCATTCTTGGATTTCTTCAACAGCACGAAAGCAGTTTGGATTGTTTTACTGAGCGAGGCTCAGTGATTGCTGGTGAGCAATCTGGGAGGTTACCTGTCCGCTGGTATCCCTCCCTTCTGGCTTGTACTTCAGCAGAGGTCCTTGCCATTCCCGTGCTTAGCGGAGGGGCATTGCCTGCTAACAGGCAGCCCCTGGCATTAGTCTGCACCTGCAGAGAGGGATAAGGCCAAGCACTTATTTCAGGGTTCAAAAAAATATAAGACAGGGTCTTATTTTCGGGGAAACCTGGTAGATCCAACCAATAAAAATCCAACTAACTCCAATTAACTCATTAATTTTAAGTCACTCCCAACTCTAAACTTTTATTTAAGCATATTTATAAAATCAATAAATTCTAATACACCTTTTTAAAACTTCCTCTTAACATTGGTAATTTCAAAAACACTTTCAATAATACTTTAAAAGCTTTAGGAATTACTTAAGCATTATATATAAAGAAAAAAACACACATTTTCAAATTTACTTTACATTAAAATTTTCTTTCAAATTACATATATCAGACTGATAAAAATCCATCCTAATTCCAATTAACTCATTAAGTCACTCCAGTTTATGTTCATAGAATAACATATTTTTCTTCTCTGGAATGTCTATCAAGAAATTATAAACTTCTCTTTTTCTCCAGGATTTCTCAACTTTATTAGTATGCATGAAGAAAAAATCCCAAACTTGCCCTCTTAAAAGTTGCAGATTTTCTTGGAACTCTTCTATCAATTGGTTAGAAGATTTATATTTAAACCATCATAATAAAGATTGGTGTCAAGTTTATATTCCAAAATTGCAAATGAGTGCTTTGTCAGCTGTTTGTGAAATTGCTGAGTAGTTTGGTAATTTTCTACACATAATTGCATCTCTGAAGCAATTTGAGTAGTTTTTATAACATCCTTAGAACATAGTCTATCTATAAACTGATACGTTTTATTTAATATTTTTTCAAACACACATCTGATAACTTGCTCAAGCCTATGTTCCATCTTCTTAGCTCCCTCTTGTGGTCAAAGAGTTGATTTTTTTAGAATTGCTGGCCAATCAGAATTCATAAAAATCAGAAGATTTTAACCACCCATAGCAAAGCAAACCAAGCTATAAACTTCTTAAAAATAGTAAAATAAAAGCCACAACTTTTTCCATCAAGGATTTTAAAAAAAGATACTCCATGCTTCCTTACTTTAACTTGCCTTCAGTAGCCGCCTTTCTTGTCATTTAACAAGAAAGAAGTCCCCAAAATAGCTCAGATCTTCAAAAAGGAATAGCAGGCTGTGACTGAAGAGAACCTTTTTTTAGCTTAAGAAAGATAATAATTCCTAAAAGTGATTAAGAAATGAAAGGCATAACTTATTGTCTGAAAAGTAAATGCCAAAATGGCTGCTTTTTCAACAACAAAATAAATGTAGCCCCCCCCCACCCCAGCTGCTCACAAGCTCACTCTGAAGCACAGCTCCTGATGGAGGATCTTGTGGGGGTGATTCTGAAACTCTCCCTAACTCAGGAGAGTCATATAAACTAAAGGAAAGTCGATTCCTTCTGTTAGTAAATTCAAAAAGTAACAGTCCAGAGGGAGCCCCAGGGAGCCCTCCCTGGGTGTATTGTCAGTTGGTTATCTTCACTGGAAGTGACAACATTTTGACTGTAAATGTTGTCTAAATAATGGAACCTTTTTTTGTTTTGTTTTTTACAGCACCGGTTTCAACCCCAGAATCCCTTGTCTGGAGCTCAGCAGTTTGTGGCGAAAGATCCTCAAGAAGATGATGACTTGAAGCTTTGTTCACACACAATGATGCTTCCCACTTGGGGCCAGCTTGAGGGAAGGATGATTGTCACTGCTTATGAACACGGCTTGGATAATGTCACCGAAGAAGCAGTTACAGTTGTTGTCTATGCCATAGAGGTGAGATTACACAGAATGGCAAGTTTAGTCATGAATACTCTGATACATTGTGTAGTTCGGCATTGATTATCTGCCTTTCTAAAAATAGGAGCAAAAAGGATATCCATATTACAAGAAAAACAGACCTATGAAAACTATTTTATCTGCTTATTAATATTAATTTGGGGAATTGTTTTTCCACATATGGCCAAGATTGAATACTTTCTTGTAAGTATATGTAGGCAAAGTTAAGATTGTGCTATTTAAGGAACAAAAGTATGGGCTAACATAAGTTTGATTTGCCTGTCTGTTTCCTTGGGAAATTTTATTTTTATTTTTAAAGAAAGCTTTTGTTTTTAACACTTCATGCTTTATCTGAAGTTCAATTGAGATAAATATTATAAATGGACAACTACTTGTCCCCTATGATTTCTTTCTTTTCTGTTTTCTCTTATAACAAGACTTCAGAATCCAGAAAAATGTTATGTGATGATGCCATCATTTGTATTGCTCACCTGTCTTTTCTATTCATATGTGAAATGAACAGTTTGAAGGGATCCATCTAATATCTTCATCAACATGAATAATTCTGGAAAATTTCTTCAAGGATTTTTTGAAATGAGCCTGGAGGCTAAGAAGGAGATGACAGATTGTGTTGCTGGTTTAGTACCTCTTTATGTTCAGACCAGAACCTTGATGTCACCTCTCTTCCTTTATTCTTGAAGAGTATATTTTGACTCTTAGAATTTCTGATAACATACTCTTACTAAATTATTTGCCTTGCCAATGTAGGCTTCCCACAAATGAATAAAATCTTAAAAACACAGATTTTGTCTGTGTTTTTTTTTTTGTCTGCAGGATACAAACAAATTTAATTCACAAATATTATTTGTATATTTAGTTCTTTGCAACATTTGTCATTAGCTCCTCGCATGCAGAAGTTAGAATCAACTTTTTGAGTCAACCTGAGTACCTCATTGACTATAGTTGGGCTTTATAGATCCAAGGGAACAAGATGGGTGTCCAGAGGTTAAATGAGAGCAAGCCGTAAGCCAAATAAAGGGCTTTGACAATGGAAGTATACCTGGGGATAGGCAAGGATTCCAGAATAGATTGATGGCCAGAAGCAAGGGGGAATCCAGGCAGTGGCCTTTATGTTGCAATCTTCAGAGTACAAGCATTGGATACTTCAGGGTTTAGCTTTTTTGCAAGCAATAAACAGACATTTCTTTCTCTGTAGAAGCATCTTAAGGATATCCTTACCTCTGTAATATCAAGAAGAAAGGCTTACCGTGTGAGGGACAGTCACTTCAAATATGCCTTTGGAAGTAATGTCAACCCACAGCCGTATCTGAAGAATAGTGTCATTGCTTACAATAACTTAACTGAGTGGTAAGGATTTGCTTAATACTAATGTAGCATAAGAGAGAATGTGAGAATATAAAACTTACTTTTTAACAGAAATGTCCTAATAATCAGAGGTTGTTTTTTTTTTTTTTTAATGAGAAATTGGCCAATCTAGGCATTACTTAGTAAGCAACAAAATTTCTGAAAATAAGGAACTGGAAAGCTGGAAATCAGGTAAGATGGCAAGAGGAGCCCCATCTTGCTCCACGCGCCCCAAAATAATAAGACCTCCCTGAAAATAAGACCAAGCACTATGGAGCGCTATCTAACTGTAAGTGTTATTGCCTTTGAATGATATAATCATGAAGAAAAGTTATGTCTCTCCCGAGTTCAGTATTATATTTCCTACCTTTTAATTTTTGTATTGTTTATTTTAGATAATTTGGTTTTGTGCAAGAACTACAACATGGATTATCTCTAACCTTCATATCATTTTGATAATTGTATTAGTTTTATTTGGATGTTAGCTCTCGGGAATCTTTGGAGCTGAGTGAACTATAAATAATAGCAAACAAATAAATCAAGAAATATTTTTCATAGTATGCATAATATTTTCTTTAGGTTTTGTTGAAAAATGCTACTAATAAATGCTGCCCAAAAATTTCATTTTTATCCAAATGCAGCCTAATATTATACAACATTATTCAGATCAGAAGTTACACATGACCTTCAAGTGGCCTGGTGGGGGCTATGTGCCAATTGACACTTCTGGTATTCAATTCTGAGCCAGCAGTGAACTCTTCCTTTTCCCCTAATAGGATGCCAAATCCATTTTTCTCCAATGTATGTTTTTTCTTAGCCCTCCTACCTGCTTGGCTCCCCCACCTGGTCAAAACCTTGCTTCCCATCTACCACCTGACGATGCAGAGCAACAAGCAGCCCTCCTTTTGGCCTGTTCCGGGGACACCTCACCAGCAACCCTGCCCCCAGTGAACATGTATGATCTCTTTGAGGCACTGCAGGTAACTTTCACAGATTATGTATTTTAATTTCAGTTGTTCTCCTGATGGAGATGTTGTTTCACAAAGAACTTACTACCAAGTAATGGGGGGGCGGGGGGAGGAAAGAATACCCAGAAAGAAAATAAACAGCTTGCTTTCTATTCGTTCTTAAATGTGTATGCTGCCACATCTTTTAGATTCATGGTGTCTTACAAGAACATAACACACTGAATTGTCTGAATATTAACATAACTTTAATCTGAATAATAACATAATTTAATTCAAATTTGTAAATCACATTTTTAAAAAGTTGTAACTAATTGATAAACTATACACACACACACACACATACATACATACATACATACATACATACATACATATATATATATGTCCAGTTATACAGTTCACCATGGAAACAGAAGCGAACAACCAACTTCCCTTCCTGGATGTCTTAGTCTACAGAAAATCCAATGGCTCCCTAGGACACACTATCTACCAGAAGAAAACACACACAAACCGCTATCTGCACGCACTCTCACACCACCACCCTGCCCAGATCAACTCTGTAGCCAAGACACTCATTTCCAGAACAAAACGCTTAGCTGACGAACAACACCTAAAAACCGAACTACACACTCTCACTAACGTACTAACATCCAATGGATTCCAAAGAAACAAGTTCACCAACCTAATCCAAAAAGAAACCCCCACTAAAATCCAAGACAGAGAACAAGAAAACGGCAAAGCCCTCCTCCCATACATAAAAGGCACCACAGACAGAATAAGCAAAATCCTCCACAAACATAACATCAAGACAGCATTCTGCACAAACCAAAAAATATCCACCATCCTAAGGAACCCCAAAGACAAAATTGAATTAGAAAATCAAGGAGTATATGAAATCCCATGCACCGCCTGCCCCACCACATACATCGGACAAACCAACAGACGAATAAGTGCACGCATAGAAGAACACAAGAACTCAGTCAGAAAAGAGGAACCAACTTCTTCCCTGGTCCAACACCTTAAAGCCACAGGACACGATATTGACTTTAAAAAGACCAGAACTATCGCCAAAACTGAACACTTTAACAACAGAATAATCAGAGAAGCCATCGAGATAGAAAAACGCCCACACAGCATGAACAAACGAGACGATACCTCCCGCCTACCAGCCATTTGGAAACCCGCCCTTATTGACAAACGAGTCCCTAACACGACGAATGACACCAGACCCACACTCACGAGAGCCACACAGGATGTCACCACCACACATCCACGCAGAAAGCAGACTCAAACCCACACTGATAATGAGCCACGACCAAGGACCAGAAGCCAGACCGCAGCCGCATCATTAGCCACTTTAAACCCCTCCAATCCATACATGAAGCAGACTGACACCCACCATGAAGAGCTCGCACGGCCACAAACACGAAGCCAAACAACAACAACGCAGCTCACCAGCTCAAATCCCCCTGCAACTCAGACTAAGCTGAGCACAACCAAGCCCCCACCCAAACAGAACACACCCCCAGCCAATCAGAGCACAACCAACCCCCCATCCAATCAGAGCACAGCCAAGCCCCTAACCAATCAGAACACACCTCCACCCAATCAGAACACAGCCAAGTCCCCACCCAATCAGCTCACACCCCCACTAGCAGTTAAAAGGAAGAGACAGCTGCGATCTCACATTGCTCCTGGAAGCACGAAGCCGAGAACACCAGCCTGAAGATGACGAATGAGACTTCATCGAAACGTTGCCAAGACACTTCCAATTTTACGTGGGAGAAGACCCGAATAACCAAAGACCTACATACAAACACCCGCGAAAACCTGAGAAAACAAATATATATATATATATACACATATACATACATACATACATACATACATACATACATACATACATACATACGTAGGTCTTCTAGGAGCACAAGGCCAAAGACACCAGCCTGAAGATGACAAATGAGACTTCGTCGAAACATCGCCAAGGTACTTCCAATTTTACACCGGAGAAAACCCAAATAACCAAAGACCTACATACAAATACCCGCGAAAACCTCAGAAAACATACATATACATATACGTATACATATACATATACTACATATACATATACAGTTGCAAGAAAAAGTATGTGAACCCCTTGGGATTATGTGGAGTTTTGCATGAATTGGTCATAAAATGTGCTCTGAACTTCATCTAAGTCACAACAATAGAAAAACACAGTCTGCTTAAAATAATACTACACAAACATTAGATGTTGCCATGGTTTAATTAATAATGTAAACATTCACAGTGCAGGGAGGAAAAAGTATGTGAACCTTTGGACTTAATAACTGGTTGACCCTCCTTTGGCAGCAATAACCTCAACCAAACGTTTCCTGTAGTTGCAGATCAGACCTGCACAATGATCTGGAGTAATTTCGGACGACTCCTCTTCTCAAAACTGTTTCAGTGTAGCAGTATTCTTGGGATGTCTGATGTGAATCGCTCTCTTAAGGTCATGCCACAGCATTTCAATCGGGTTGAGGTCAGGACTCTGACTGGGCCACTCCAGAAGGCGTATTCTGTGCTGTTGAAGCCATTTTTTTGTTGAATTACTTGTATGCTTTGGGTCATTGTCCTGTTGCATCACCCATCCTCTGCAGAGCTTCAGTTGGCGGACAGATGGTTGTACGTTTTACTGCAAAATGTCTTGATAAACTCTGGAATTCATTTTCCCATCAATGACAACAATCCGTCCAGGCCCTGAGGCAGCAAAGCAGCCCCAAACCATGATGCTCCCTCCGCCATGTTTTACAGTGGGGATGAGGTTTTGATGTTGGTGTGCTGTGCCTTTTTTTCTCCACACATAGTGTTGTGTGTTCTTCCCAAACAACTCAAGTTTGGTTTCAGCTGTCCACAGTATATTTTGCCAGTAGTGCTGTGGAACATCCAGGTGCTCTTTTGCAAACGTGCTGCAATATTTTTTTTGGACAGCAATGGCTTCCTCCGTGGTGTCCTCCCATGTACTCCATTCTTGTTTAATGTTTTCCTTATTGTAGATGTGTCAACAAAAATGTTAGCATGTGCCAGAAATTTCTGTAGGTCTTTAGCTGACACTCTAGGATTCTTCTTTACCTCATGAAGCATTCTGTGCTGTGCTCTTGCAGTCATTTTTACAGGATGACCACGCCTAGGGAGAGTAGCAACAGTGCTAAACTTTCTCCATTTGTAGACAGTCTATCTTACCGTGGACACATGAACATCAAGGCTTTTGGAGATACTTTTGTAACCCTTTCCAGCTTCATGCAAGTCAACAATTCTTGATCGTAGGTCTTCTGAGAGCTCTTTTCTGCGAGGCATGGTTCATATCAGACAGTGCTTCTTGAAACCAGTAAACCCAAAACAGGTGTGGGAAGGGCAGGACAGCTGTCAGCAACCCATCCAATATCATCACACTGATTGGAGTCAAGGTTGGCTCACTCCTGGCTCCAATTAGCTCTTGGAGAAGTCATTAGGCTAGGGGCTTACATACTTTTTCCTCCCTGCACTGTGAATATTTACATGTTATGTTCAATTAAACCATGGCAACATCTAATGTTTGTGTAGTATTATTTTAAGCAGACTGTGTTTTTCTATTGTTGTGACTTAGATGACGTTCAGAGCACATTTTATGACCAATTCATGCAAAACTCCACGTAATCCCAAGGGGTTCACATACTTTTTCTTGCAACTGTACATATACATATACATACATATACACATACACATACATATACATATACACATATATATTAATTAATTTGTGGCCAATAAGATTTTCACTTGTGTACTTGCAGATCCACCGGGAAGTGGTCCCTGCCCATACTGTCTATGCCCTCAATATTGAAAGGATCATCCTGAAACTCTGGCATCCAAACCATGAGGAGCTTCAGCAAGACAAAATCCATCGGCAGAGGTTGGCTGCGAAGGAAGGCCTCTTAATGTGCTAAGACTGTTTCCAGTGCTGACTTTGGGCTGGACTAATATATCTTCAATGTGCCAGTTGGCATTTTGACTTTAGAATCTCAACATTTGCATTATTTTATGAGCACTTCCAGGTGGAAGTGTGAACATGTTTCCCATGGAAATATGACTCAAAGTGAAGAGCATATAAGTGTAAAACAAAGCCCTGATTGCTTAGAAGATCAACTACTTTGCTGATAACTTTCAACAAACTGAATACCATTAATTCTGAAAATCTTTCTGTTCCACTAGAAAATGGATATTGCAGCAAAAACCAAATTTTTGTTTTCATTCCATCCGTAATATGTAAGATGATGCTCTGTCTATCTGCAGTACAAAGATAAGAGTTCCTACAGTCACCAGATACATAGGGCATCTAAACTACTGCTTTGGGTTGTTTTTACAAACATACATTGTAAATATACTATACAAAACTTTGTTTTGTTGGTATTTCTTTTGTATAATTTGTGTTTATTTCATGTTGGAGAAGTCCTGGTTCATTAAAATAAACTTTATTGTAAAACAGTTTTCATTATAAAAATATTTTTTCTTTACTAAAACAGCAATATTTAAATCTGTGAAAAGTCCTTCAAATATATAATTATCACTCTGATTATCTTTTTAAATATATTTTGCCTCTGGGAAAGTAAAAAATAACCAAGTTGTTTGCTTAATTATTCAACAGAATTCATAACTCTTTAAAAGTGAATCTCCTTCACCCTAACATGTTTCACAGCAAAAATAGAGAATAGAGATTTTTTATTTGTGATTCAGCAGTATTTTGTAATATATCTAAATGAGGTAAAGATTGCCAAACAGAATGGTGAAAAGTTCCTTAGTCATAAATCATAGCTCCACAAAACCCAGAACTAGTTGACGTTGTACCATAGGAAGCACATTTTTTGTTCTGCAGATCTGTCTAGAGCCGTGATGGTGAGCCTATGGCACGCGTGCCACAGGTGGCACCCGGAGCCATGTCGGTGGGCATGCGAGCATTGCCCTAGCTCAGCTCCGGCGCACATGCACACGACAACCAGCTGATTATTGGGCCTTCTGGGCTCACCGGAAGTCGGGAAACAGGCTGTTTCCAGCCTCAGGAGGGCCTCCGGGGGAGGGAAGGCCCGTTTTTCACTCTCCTGAGGCTCCAGAGGCTTTCTAGGTCCCACCGGAAATCAACAAACAGACTGTTTCAAGCCTCCAGAGGGCCTCCGGGGAGGTGAGGAAGGCCGTTTTCGCCCTCCCTAGGCTCCAAGAAAGCCTCTGGAGCCTGGGGAGGGCGAAAAATGGACCTACCGTGCCCACCCCGCATGCCAAAAGCAGGGGGAGCTCGGTGGGGTAGCATGGGCATGCACGGGGGCAGAGCGCATTGAATTATGGGTGTGGGCACGCGCACGCGTGATCCCCCATACTCCCCCCACTTTTGGCACGCGACAGCAAAAAGGTTAGCCATCACTGGTCTAGAGGATTCTCAAGTTTCCAGTGCAAAGAAAAATCCCCACTTATTTCTAACAAATAAATTATAGAAATAAATCAAAAAGGTTATTTGATTTTACAAAGCTCTGGCACAGTGAAAATCACAGCAGGAGAACATTCATCTTCAATCTGTTGGTCATTTTCTTCAGTGAAAGTGAGAATAGGGTTTTTTGGGGGGGGTTTACTCGGGGAAGAATTACTGCCATACAGAATAATTTGAATGTGTTCCATGTTAAAGAGACTTAGAAGAGATACAAGGAAGGTGATTTGTTGTCCATTCTAAAGGAAGAGAATGTAAACATATCTAATAAATGAACCTAACAGCCGGTTCATTCCTGTAAGCATGATTCTTCATTACTCAGATACTAAAAAGAACTCCCGGCACAGATTGTTCATCAAACCTCTCTTCAATCAGTGAAACGGAAGTATTCCATTTCAGGAGCAAAAGATCAGACTGGTCATAAAATACATCTTTCAGAACTGTGGTAAACAAGTTCATTTCCAAACAATTGCTGTTGATGTCAGTGGAAATGTGTCCTGAGGCCAGTCCTGTGTATGTTTACTTAGAAATAAAGTTTCATCTTCCTCAGCATGTCTTAATCCAAAGTATACATTTACAATTGCAAAGGGATTTGAAGTGGGCAGTCTGTGTCTTGCCTAGATCCATTTGCCCTGATAAAATCCATGGCTAATAAAATCAATTACAAATGTGCCCAGTTCAAATCCCATCTTAGCTATTAAATATCACAGTGACTTTAAGCCTTTGATCTTCCATATGCTACATGGAGATAAATAATGATTAGCTTTTAAATCATTACAACTACTGGGGAGGCTCGAGTTGTCAATCATATCAAAATGGCTATATTTCTACATAGAAGAAGTAGTGCTAACTCCCTTCGACCTGATACATCAATAAAATAAGATGTCCATAAGATTTGGTTAAAAAAGTCAAGATGGTGGGAATGACTGCAATCAAAGCTCCATTTTTATAAAGTGTAAAAGAAGTCTCAAATATTTGTACAATAGTTTGCAGACACTTCTGCAGCTAGTCATTACATATCTGCAGCAATGTCCTTTTGCAGTACTTTTCATTTGCTAGAGAAGGACAGAAACAATAGGAAGCTGAAACATTGTGGTTTGAGCTATCTTTTGTATTCCTTGGAAAAATAGAACCTAGACTTTCATATTGCATCCTAGAAACATTGCTAATTTTTCTAGTCCTAAAACCTGATAGTTACTTTAATAGATACCTAATATAGATAGCTACGTATGAAAATGACTGAGTTTATTTCTTCTCTAGGTGCACCCAAGCAGATATCACATTGCCCCGAGCTAGTTATACTAGCACCACAGTTTCACAGTTAGAAATGTGCATTTAGAATATCCCTGACTATGATCACAATTAGCCCCTTGGGGCAAATTCCATTTATTCCATTTATTTTGTTCCACAAATAGAAGAAAACAATGTGCGCATAATCTGACAGGATGAAAGATGGGGCAAGCCCACTTTAAGTGATTTTGAGTGAGCAGTAATTAATTTGTGGAACACAAAATGAAGGAAGGGAAAAGTCCCATCTCTCTCTGCCTGGTGATTGATCTGTGACTTTCTCATCTCTGCTCCTCTGCTCAGAAACACTAGACTGAATGTGATTGGCCAAAGGGGCTGGCTGGGATTCAAGGCAGCCACTTTATATCTTTCTGAAAAAAGACAGGCTGTGTTACAGACAGCGAACGCTTCTGCCTTCTCACACACCATCTGGTTGTCTTCAAGGACACAATAACCACACGGCAAGATGTGCAAAGGATTAGCAGCCTTACCCCACACATGCCTGGAGAGGTGAGAGACAAGTTTATGCCTATCAAAGAGGAAAGTGATGAGGGTGATGGAGAGAGCGGAGACACTGCAGCAATCTGGCAGAATAAAAGCTTAGCCCATCTCTGTGCAGAAGAGATGCCTGCTTAAAGAAATGTTGGGAAGTTCTGTTCTCATTTGGTTTTGGAGGAATTAAGCAAGTGAACTGACCAAGCTGATGGCCTTTATTTCTCATTGGGCTTGAGATCAGAAAGGTAAATTACATTTGGACACAAAACCGTAAAAAAAAAAAGTATGTTATAGTTAAAGACATAGTTAAAGAATGAGGAGCCAAATTCACTCAAAATACTGTTAAATCTACTGTGGGTGGTGGAATGATGTATTGCACAGCATGGGTTAGTAATATGAATTTTTCATTCAAACTAGCATAAGTAAAAGCTTTTTTTCTTCAGTAAAAATGTAAAAACGCTTTTGAAAGGAAAATTGTGGACAAGGGAAAGATTGATTCTCAGTTAAAGATATGATGCACTTTACAACTCTTTATCTCTCACACACAGACACTATTTCATAAGAATATGATGACAGTCTTACATGAACAGTTCTTGTTATATTTTGTTTGACTTTTTCTCATTCTTTTAATTACTTTCTTCCCAGCTTCATGCTAAAACCCAAGATATAATCAGAAAGCTACTGAGATAAATGTCTTAAGACAATTAAATCATCATCATCATCATACCATTGTTCAAGAAGTTTTTCAGGGATCATAAGACACTGATTTCTCTTAAGTTTCCATCCATTATTGAATACAATGAAAAAACAAGATCATTTTTTGACCTTTCCTTCACTCGCCCACCTACCCACACATTTACTCATTCATTTAAACAGTCTGTAAACCCTTATACCTCATTGTAGCTATTATAAAGAAGGATAAATTTAAATTAAAACTACAGGTGAGGACATTGTCTTCAAGTGCTGATAGTTTTATTTTCTAATTATCATAAAATAGCAGAATTCTGTCACGGTATTGGGACTAATTTATTTATTTGGGAAAATATTCCAGCAAATCCCCATCAGTTTATGATTTGAAATGATATAACCCACATCCATTGTTAATGTATTTACTAATTCTCAGTTTCACAACTTGTTTTGCATCAATGCACTAAAAGAACTAAAACTAAAAGAAAAGAAAAGCAGGTTTAAGTGCAATCTCTTTGTATTTCTAGTGACTAGATAAGGAAGGAAAAGAAATTGGTGTCTTAGATAATTGCAGGCCCTGATAAATAAACACTATTAATGGAATAAAATAAAAAAGAGCAGGATCTTAAAAATTAAACTTATAAATGATGAAGAGTGATGAGTTTCAAAAACTTTTCAGCAGCACTTTTAATTAGCCTGAAATGAACCAAAAACTGGCATTAAAACTTGATAGTAGCCTATTATCCCAATGGCCCAGCATAATGCAGGAGTAAAGAAACCTCTTGAATAACTTTGTTTTAAGGCTACTAGAATAGATAGATTCTGGATCTTCTTCCTGTATGTGTTTCTTTCTAAGATTTTACCTACTGCCTATAAGCAATTTTGACTCAGAAAGATTTTTTTCATAGAAGGAATTTGTTTTTTAGCCATGCTAATTATTTTTGCATTATTCCATAAAGGGTTCCTGAAAATATATCTGGGAAACAAAAGGGTGCAAATATACATGTCAAACCTCCCTAGATTAAGAGTAGCTTTTTATTTCTCAGTGTGAGTGTTTGTGTGATGGCCAATTAATTTTGGTGTACATTCTTCTCTGAGTTATGGCATGAATTATGATATAAAATGAGATTCCATTGATTGATAGTGGAAAAGCCAAGTCATTTAATTGTTCTCTTATATTTTTTGCCAGTTGCTTTATTTTATTTATCTTTTAGTGTTTGCTTAATGTCTGAAGACATGTTTTGTCACATCTTGGCATCATCAGGGCAATGCTGCTTTGCAATGAAAAGTTTGCCCTATCTGTTGTTCCAGAGAAAGAAATGGAACATGCAATGTTCATATGCATTATGCATATGTGGTATTGTCCTTTATTTCTTAGCTTGGATCTGCATTAAGATTTGACTCTTGACTTTGGTGATCACCCATGGGTAGGTTTCTTAAAACCAGTTTCAGGACAGTAATAAGAATAGGATGAATGCTTCACTATTAACATTTACCTGAACTTCTTTTTTTTTGAAATGAACACTGGTACCATTGGGATAGGAAATCTAATTCTCCTGTCCATATGCTTTTGACATGGGACAACTATATTAAAATGTTAAACTTTTATCTGCTATTGCTTATAAATCCAAAATGAGAAATACATCTATCTGGAGTCTAGTTCTCACACTGCCAGAGTTTATAGTGAAGTGTATAATGATTTCAACAATGTGTATGATGACGTTCTCCAGTATATTTACCCTTACAAAATAACTCTACCATTGCTAGATTCTTCAGCGACTGTTTAAGCAGCCCACTCAACATTTGTACATTAAAGGATCTGTATCAACCTGGAGAGGCCACCCCAGCTAACAGGGATAGCAAAATTCTACAGAAGACAGAATCAGGATTCAAAAGGATCTAGACCAGCTGAAAAAGGCTAATTATTGGGGACAGAATGCCCCCCCCAAGCCTCCTCCAGTCTGTTCCGTTCATCCCCATCCTCTCAATATTTGCCTTTTCAGGTTATCAATTGTTGGCTCAGGAATTCTGGGAGTTGAAGTCCACAAGTCATAAAAGGGCCATAGTTGCCCACCTCTTAGTGTATCTAATGACAGCTCTGATGTGTATGGATATGAGTTTATATTCTTTTATCCATAAGGAATAAATGGGAAATTAGCACCTAAAAAGGTAATGGCCTTATTTTAACCCTCTTTAGTATATAAAACTAGATTTTTTTGGGTTGTATTATCTTTAGAACCTCCAACCGGGGTGTGACCCAGTACTACCAAAATATCTAACCAAAATGGGCAGAAAAATGTTTTTAAATCTGTGAATATCTAAAACATCCAAATTTAAATTTTCTCAGGTATGTGTATGTGCAAATATGTACATGCACAAAATATATGTTCGGTTCTTTATTTTGTAGTTTAGAAGACATAAGGTATTATTTCTATTATTAGGGCAGGAGCTTGAGTACACTCTGTGCCGTTTTAATGAGAGCATCCTTACTCAAGAGACCCTTCGGTCAACAAGGCGCATGGGGACCTGGCCACCCTTTGGCCTATGAAGAAGGCTCTTCCTGGCTCAAATGAATAGATTTCTTGGAACAGCTGATTAGGAAAATGGCCTTAGTATGTGCTGACATCCTCCAAAGAGATGGATGAGTAAAGCTTTCATTTCAAAATCTGAAGAACAGTTAAAAGGATAACATCTCAAAAACTCTGAGGTTTCCTGCCTATGGAAATAGAAATTAATGCAATTTAAAAGACTGATAATTAATGACATCTAGAGACTTTCAAGGGCTCCATTAGACATTACATCCTTTGATGATTTACCTTTGAAACACCTGAGGAAGAAAAAAAACAAAAGTTGCCTGTATGATTGATTGATTCACTTACGTATTCGATGGGCTATTCTTTACATTTAAAACCACTGAGTATTTTACAACAACTAAACTTTAAAATCAAAAGCAGTATGAAATATAAAGGGTAAACTAACAATTTTTTCAGAAGTTCTTTGAAGAGTTCTAACAACTAAACTAGCATGAAAATAATTTTTTTAGGCATGAGAGCAAATTTCCCTGAGACTTCATACTGAGTAGCAAAGCTTTGGGTTCAGCTGCTGCTAACTTGCCAGAAGTCTCTAAGGAGATTCCTTGTTAGAGGTGCTGCGCTTCCTTTCAGCAGCGCAGCTGACGCTTTTGTCAGGATTGGGATGCAAAATAATGAGAGGGTGTGAATGAGGATAACACTTGAGGTGAAATAAAGAGCTCAGTCAAGGCACTTTACAGGAATAATTTTAATTTAAACATCTGCTGTTCCCGATAATAGGACATGGAGGGCTCTTAATTTGGTTCATGGTATACAAGATCAGAACAGATCCCTGGCAGACTTGAGGTTTATAAGGACTATTTATAAGACAATTTTATAACAGATATCTGGCAAGATTAGTATTGTGCAATCTCTCAGCCTTATTCATACTATATTATGAGTTCCAGATTCTAGATATCTGGTACAAGTCACAACAGCACAGAAACATAAAATTAGTAGATTTTAGAGATCTTCTAAAGCCAGGAGTCATCAGGTGTAAACCATTGCCATCACGCAAATGACATGAATGATCTTACTTGCACCCATGTATAATGATTTACCCTTCCTTAAATACCTACAGTATTTGTGCCTTCTCCGTTTCCCCATCACATTTTCCATAAGTTTTGTTTGCAGAAATGATCCATCACGGAGAAAAAAAATCCATAGATTCAGTTGTCTATCTGGAAGTACTCTAAAGCTGGGTTCCATTAAAGCCAGCACCGAATTAAGGCTATAATATGACCTTAGGTTTGTTTGGGTTTTTTTGGTTAATATGTTATCTGAATCCAAGGTTGTGATTCCAAGTGGCAATCCAGATTTTACGATTTAGCATTTTGTATGAACTCAAAGAATTATGACCTAGTCCACAAACTATGATTAAACAAATCATAACTTTGTGTATTCCATGAACACAACAAGATAAATATATTTAATTTCATGTGTCACCAATCAGGCTTTGTCCTGATAATCAATAGTCTTCATTAACACTAACTGAATCATTAGTACAGTTGATACGTGGGATGAATAGGTAGAGCTGATTGTTTTGAAGAAAATAACAAGAGGAAGGTGTATTTTGTGTGTTCAGTGCTTTGAGTTACTTTTAAGTAAAAAAAGGTATGTGAACAACGAAAACCAATCAGAGGGAGAGGTGCAGTAGTGGGTTGCCCCCGGTTTGCACTGGTTCTATAGAACCAGTAGCAAAACCGGTGGGAGGCTCTGCCCATCGACCCCGTCACTAAAACGTTTCTGCGCATGCACAGAAGAATGTGCGCGCAGCCCCGCTGCAAACCAGTAGTAAAGGTAAGGAGAACCCACCCCTAGAGAGGTAGCCTCAAACTCTCCTTGTTTGACCTAAGTAATCTCTTTTGCAAGAGATTAATCATATTTTGCAAACTTGGAAGTGATATAGTTGAAGATTAATCCTCTTTTCCTGTTGCTACAATAGAAAAGCAAAATCTTAGCAGATAGCCCACCACAAGAGACTCCCATAAGAATGCTGTTTCTTTATATTTCCTGTCCTGTCCAGTCCCCCAAGCTTCATAGCGCAGTTGAAAAAGGAAAGCAGGGATGGGATGGCTAAGCCTTCCTCAGTTCTGCCTCTTGCCGTACAAGCCCTGCTCAGGCAGTTCTGGACCTTGGTAGTTTGATCTGTCATGGGTCTGGGGGATATCAGGTTGATACAGAGCCAATCAAGTAACTAATTTGATTGTGTTGGTTGCTGAGGGTGGGAGGAGGGTATGGGTTTATACTCTAGGTTGCTATGCTGTGGCTATTGTAAGCCTCCCAGAGTAACCATGTGGAGTTGGGTAGCCATATAAATTTGTTAATAAGCAAATAAATATTAAAACCGGCATACAGTCATAATAGAAAATACCAAACTTCCATTCCCTATTAAAACTATAAGAGCCTCTGTGGTAGAGAATTATTTCACAATTTAGCCTAACTCTTCTGCCATTCATCTAAATGAGTGAGAGATAAGTAGGAAAAATATTATTTTAATAATTAATGACTTCAGCTGAAATTAAATGAAATAGGATGACAGTAACTCTACTGACTGGGAATGACAGGAGCTGTGGTCAAACCGATCTAGAGATAGCAGGTTATCTGAAGTTCGATCAGGATATCTTAATTGAACATACTGTGCTATTTTCAGTATGTAGAAAGAATATAACAGATTTGGATCTCATAGCTTTCAGTAGAATGCCCTGCCGCTCAGATGGAGCATCTTTTTCAATCTTGCATTTAGAGGAAACTACTGTATGTTCATGTATGCTTTCATAATTTTTCTTTCCAGAGCCAAAGAAATCAAGACAAAATTGGGCACACTCCTCCAGAAGCCAGACTCGGCTATTGACCTGATTATCCCTTACCCAGAGAAGCCTGCAAAGGTTCAAAAGTAAGTATATAATAATTATTAGTCTCTTTACCACATGTCCATACTCAACAGTTTAGGAGATGGAAAGGTTTCCCATCCCTGATTAAGATATGCTTTAATCTGCATATGGAAAGACAATAAGGGTGCATAATTGTGGTTTTGGATTATGAAGACCAGCCAATCACTTCTCATTACATACGTTCAGATATATAACTTGGTGGAAGAATCAAGTGTCCCTAAATATTTTACTACCATCACAAAATGACACATCATAGGGCAAAGATGGTTGGATTCTTCAACCTTACAGTATGAGATCCGGGGTTAAGGAAGTTAGAAGGCACTCCTTACTGTGGATATTTATTCACAATATTCTCAGATGATGCTCACAGGAAATGTGTGTAAATTCCCCACTTTTTGTTGGCTTCACTCATAACAGCAGACTGACATAAATTTAACATGTGGAACTTTTCCTGACATGGAGCTAGATGGGAAACGTGTTGCCATATCCAATTCTATAAGACTACTGTTTAAATGCAGGGCAGAGGTAGTTCTCGATTTACAACAATTCATTTAGTGACCATTCAAAGTTACAAAGGCACTGAAAACGGTGACATATGACTGTTTTTCACACGACCAATGCAACATCCCCATGGTCATATGATCAAAATTTGGGCACTTGACAACTGACTCATATTTATGTCAGTTGCAGTTTCCTGGGGTTGTGATTACTTTTTGTGACCTTGTGACAAGTGAAGTCAATGGGGAGCTGGATTCGCTTAACAACAGTGTTACTAACTTCACAACTGTGGTGATTCAGTTAACAACTGTGGCAAAACAGATTCTAAAATAGGGCACAACTTACTTAAGAACTGACTCATTTAGCAATAGAAATTTTGGGCTCAGTTGTGGCCATAAGTGGAGGACTACTGGAATTGTTATATTCCAATGATTCTTACAATATTCACAATGCCTTAGAAAGGGAAATCACATGTTGGGCTTCCACTGGTGGGTAAATGATACAAAACTTAACAGATTTAAAACAAGCATTTAATAACGAATTTATTTCCATGATACATAGGACAAGATACATATTTCATTTTGGAAAAGGCAAAATCAGATCAGCCTGAAAAATATTTCTGTGTTTGTCTCATAATTCTAGTATTTTTGAAACTGATGGTGTCAAGAAGACTGGTTTTACTAATGAAGAAACTTGTGATTCCTTATTATGTTTTTTTTTAAAGACCCAAATCCACTCCTTTCATTAGTAGTGTGGAATGTGGTGACAGTTACTTTGCAGGGAGTGTAGAAAAGATAGAGGGAAGAAAGGGAGAAAGGCATATCTCCCTACAAAAAGGCAAACTTGCTTTGTATGTTAATTATAAGAATACTAAGGTTTTTTTCCTGAGGATCTTTGTCAGATGCTGAAAGCTTTAAAATCTTCCATCCCTGCTTCCCTGATGAAAAACAATTATGAACACAAGAAAATGCCTCTACTTCTGGAGTAGATTATCATCTACAAAAGCTTAAATAGTTAAAATGTGTTAATATTTAAGGTGCTGTTAAACCGGGATGCGGTGGCTCAGTGGGTAAGACACTGAGCTTGATCGAAAGGTCAGCAGTTCAGTGGTTCGAATCCCTAGTGCCGCATAATGGGGTGAGCTCCCGTTACTTGTCCCAGCTTCTGCCAACCTAGCAGTTCTATAGCACGTAAAAAATGCAAGTAGAAAAATAGGGACCACCTTTGGTGGGAAGGTAACAGCATTCCGTGTGCCTTTGGCGTTTAGTCATGCCGGCCACATGACAATGGAGACATCTTCAGACAGTGCTGGCTCTTCGGCTTTGAAACAGAGATGAGCACCGCCCCCTAGAATCAGGAACGACTAGCACATATGTGCGAGGGGAACCTTTACCTTAAGACCCTCATACTGTTTGCCTACTTTTTATTTTATATATATTTATTTTCTTTGCTACAACAAACTGACACAATTTGTCCCTCTAGAAGGTTTTATATCATTATTGTTCGACCAAATTAGAAGCAGGCAAATTTAAGAAGAGCTATGTGGGTGAAAACAGTGTTAAACTGTAGTGATACATTGATATGACCATTAGAAAAAGTGGCTCCATTTCTGTTTATCTGTGGACTTCAAGAAACTTGCTGCTGCCCTGCCAAAGGCTAATTGCCAACATTAATCACTGTCATTTTAATCTGTGAGAAAGCAGTCTCCCATCTGTACCAAAGACAAAGTAGTTCCAGGAACTGGAACAAAATGAACACCAGTAGCACTGATGCTATTAGGGAAAAAAGTGGCCTTAATGCACAAGGGGAACCTCTCTGGCTGATTGTCCCTGAATCTGTTTCCAATTAGGCTGTAAAAAAAGACTCAGCAGACAGACTGATCTAAAGATTGCACGATGACGGACAAAGTTGATAGTAGCTTAATTTTAACCACTGCTACAGACAAATTAGGTAGATCATGCACTCTTTTCAGAGCCATTTGGAGCAAATTAGGCTGTGGGTTTATGGGCTGTTTTGAACATCATAATTCCCTTGTCATGGCAATGGAAACAGATGTGGTGAGGCAGGTTCTCCATGGGTCTTCAGGAAGGAAAATGTTTGGTTTCTCATTGGGGAGGAAAAGGAAGACCAGGGCTGCTCTAGTGATGAGAACAAAATTGTAGGTATCTGATCCCAACCCCTGCTGGATTCTGGCAGTATATTAATTTGAGAAATAAAATTTACTAAGCAAATTAGCCTTTTTTGCATAATTATTATTTTTAAATAGAATCATGTTTCATAATTTGGTCTGGTCTAATTTTGCTCAGAATGCAAAGATGCAAATATTTGAGGTTTCTTCCCCTGATTATTTTCTGCCCCTTCTTTGGCCTGAAGAGCCCTTTGCCTCAAACAATTAAGCAGATCTTATCTACGTGGACATAAACTTTTATTTGATGAAAGCCGATTCTCATGAACTTGAATGTCATGCCCCCAAACCACTTCCTGCATTTATGCAGAACCAAGGGAGGCCTACGAGTCCTGGATTAAAGCCAGGAAAAATGGTCTTGTCTGTTGACAAGATAAAACTTCTCAGCTTAATCCAGTAAAATAGAAATGATTTCTTTACGGTGGTTCATTCCAGTATAAACCGGTTGATTAAATAGGGAGGAGGTTAAACAAACAATTATGTTTATTAAAAAAGGATATGTTGCTGATAAGAAAAACATTCATTAATCACTCATTAACATGAGGTGAGGAGATTTGCTTGATTATAGGCACTAGCCACTTTTAAAGTTGGCCAACTTGACCTGCCCCTTAGGGTCTTTCTAACACAAGTCTAGCACTGTTTTGGAAAAACACTACATCTGGGTCAAAAACCATGGTATGACTGACAGTCCACATATGCAGTGAAGTCTATAGGCTGAAACCTATAGGTATTTCCTGGAGGTTCTTCCCTCATTTTTTTTTTAAATTTGATTTATATGCCGCCCTTCTCCGAAGACTCAGGGCAGCTTACAATGCGTTAAGCAATAGCCTTCATACTTTTGTATATTTTATACAAAGTCAGTTTATTGCCCCCACAATCTGGGTCCTCATTTTACCTACCTTAGAAAGGATGGAAGGCTGAGTCAACCTTGAGCCTGGTGAGATTTGAACTTGCAGTAATTGCAGGCAGCAGATGTTAATAACAGTGCTTTAGTCTGCTGCACTACCATTTATTCTGCACTCCTATGCCACATATCCTACTTGTCAGTCAGGCACAGGGTGAAGCAGGAAAGAGAAAATTGCTGCAAGGGAGTGATAAATATTAGCAGCACTTAAATGCAGAGCATGGATTGGAATAGGCAAAAATGGTGCTGCTCCTGTAAAGTAAGAAATAAAACAGTAGACAGTAACCTCACCTGCAAGTCCTTGTGAGAAGAAGCAACAAAAATGTGGAATGCATTTATATGAGATAAACAATAAAATAAGTAAATAAATGTGAACAGGTCTATAGTTGTTTCAAAGACTTGTTAAACCAGTGTATAGAAAAGAAGCATGTGTAATGCCTCACCACTCTTACCAAATGCCAGTTAGGTGTAATTACAAGAGCAGATACAATTGTGGGAGCCAGGTGTGAGATCTTTCTGGCAACCTAAGCCATGGAGGGCAATGCCTAGCAATGTGAGGGAAAGAGTATGGCAGCTGCAGTCTAATGAGGCAGAGAAGAGCTGGGCAGATGGTAGTTTATGACTTCAGGTTCACCAACATAATCACTGAGGCATTGCAGATGGCTCACGTCGCAAGACATGTGTCAGGAGAAGAAGCAAAACACTACTTTGAAACTGGAACAGCTACATATGAATTTAATCTGCTCCATGACATTAGGGCAAGCCAAGCCACTGACTGAAGGAGATGTCATAACATTATGCCTAAAAATGGTTAGTGGGACATCTTTGTCCTGTAGGTAGGAGACATGAGGACAAGCCCATCTCTTAACTGATACGAAAACGTTCTAAACCAGGGCTGTCAAACTCCCGACCCGCGGGCCAGATGCATCATGCGCTGGCCACATCCATGCCTGGTTTAGCAAAGAGGCGGGGCGGGAGGGAAAGTCCCGATACATCATGTGATGTTCGCTGTGATGATGTGAGTTTGACACTTCTGTTCCAAACCATTGACTAACCTCTGATGTCATAGCATGTCAATTTTTCCATTCTATCCTTTATCTTCTTTTTAACAGAATAGATGATTTTAAATAACAACCTTCTACTCATTATCATGCAAAAAAAATTGTGTATGCAGTTAGTCCAGTGCTACTGCAGTTCTATAGCAGTTGACCTATAATTTTATTCATTTATACACATTCCCATTCTACTTTTTATATACATCCCTTTGTTTATTAAAAGTGCTTCATAAAAATACTGTGATGGCATTCACAGTGAAAGAAATGCAGCTTCAAACTTCTGTTTCCTGGTTCAAGAATGTTCCAGAACTACACCCAGTTTTATGTCTTTTGAGCCATAGTAGTCAATGTCTTACTAGTGAGTTCTTTTTTCTCTTAGACTTGCTGGTGTCTGTATGGACTTCTATAGTAGTTGCTATTTTGTCTTACATTAATACTTTAATTTCAAATCCTTACAGCCTGAGTAAAATCAGATAATTAGTATCCACTTTGTCATGGGAGTCCATAGCATACTCACTTGACACAAAAGCAATCATTTTCTTGACCAGCGTGGGAACTGATGATGAATCTGTGGGAGAGATAAAACCAGATCCCAAAGCCACAGCCAAAGCAGGGGAAAATTCAAACTTCAGATTTTGAAAAATGAAATGAAAGAATGAATACTCAGGGGAGGGAATACTGTCTGCGTGGAGAACAATTATCCTCCATTTAGCCCCATTCTGCTTTATACAGAACAACACAGAGTTGAAAATAAAAAAGATGAAAGGAATGACAAAGGCCTAGTGAGGGCTAGTATTTTTGGATGGCCCCTTATTCAAAGGCCAAGTAGGGCTACCAACACAGCATGAAATTGTATATGAGAACTTCTCCATGGGGAGGAATAACAAACAAACCTGTTGGATTTTCTTTTCAGCTGTACAATCAATGGACAAGAATTTTGGGAATTACAAACTGCAGATTCTGGAGATATAAATATTAGAGGTCTATCAGAGTCCAAATAATTCCTAATGGGATGCCAGGATAGTTAAAGGATAGTTAAATGTTAAAAGGAGAATATGAAGAACTGTACTTTAAATGTTTATGTAATCTTTCAGTATCAGAGAATAACCAAAAATAGTCCTATCACTCCAGCCCTATATAAACTGCTTTCTCTCTTGCACCATAAGATGCCCCATAAGAGTCTCCTGCTTGAACAGGGGGTTGCACTAGAAGACCTTCAAAGTCCTTCCAACTCTGTTATTCTGTTTGATCTCCATTTTTCCTCAAGTTCCACTACCTCAAAGAGATAGTCAGCTTTTGCAGACTAATTTCCGACCTTACCAATTTTCTCTGCCATACCAATTCTCTATTCATTAACAAATTAATAGACACGTTTATCTGATCATATTGAGCAGCAGAGGAAAGTACATTTTATTGAAATGGCGATAGGAGCATGAACCTGCTGCCTGAGGCAATCTATATGTTCCTAGTTTTGTCTAGGCCTAATCCAAAGTCTATGGTACCATCTAACTCAGGGGTAGGTTCTACTTACCTTTACTACCGGTTCACAATGGGATCACACGCACCTAAGGACAACTTAAAGCTGTGTCAGATGACATTATAATGGCATAGGAAGGCGGCTGCTGGGCCATATTTTTGCCACAGTTAGCTTCAAGTGAGAGAAGGCTAAGAAAAGTTACAGAACTGATGAAAGAGATTATAAATAAGTTATAAAATAATGAATAAGGTATAGCAATCATTCAATAAAAGACTGTTCAGGCAGTACCAATCCTTTTCTGACTTGTTGATCTAAAGAATATGCTTTTATATATTTTATATATTTTCATTTTAATATTTACAGGCCTTCCCCAGAAGAAACTTGGCAGTGGCGCAATTCCTTGGAAAAGCTCCTTCAAAACCCTTGTAAGACTTTTGTAAAGATCTCCACATAATTATCCTAAGAATAATAAAATTTAGGCCATGAGAAACTACAGTAAAGCATTGTTATGTCATCTATGGAGGAGTCCTAAGATTGCAACTGCAATAATAACTTATTATCATATTTGTCATTTAGTATATTTGCATGAGTCTTATATGCAGTATAAAATTATACCAGTCTGAATCTCAGATCAGAAGCAGAAAGATCAGCGTATACCTGGGATATATTTCTATCAACTCAGTTAGTCTCATTATCTGGATGTATATAATATACCGTGTTTCCCCTAAAATAAGACATCCCCTGATAATAAGCCCAATAGGCTTGTGAGTGCATGCACTAAAATAAGCCCCCCCTGAAAATAAGTCCTCCCCGAAAATATTTAAAAGCATGGGCAGTCGGTCCCCATCATTTCCTCTGGTTTCCTCCACACGCCCCAAAATAATAAGACCTCCCTGAAAATAAGGCCAAGCGCTTATTTCGGGGTTCAAAAAAATATAAGACAGGGTCTTATTTTCAGGGAAACACGGTATTAACCTTGGTTGGTTTAGTCTTTTTATGTCTTAACAACATTTTTCTAATCCAGCCTATTTGGTTTAATAGAATAAAATGATTAGAATGAGCTGGAAGGGACCTTGAAGATCTTCTAGTCCAGCCCCCTGCTCAAGTAGGAAAACGTATACCATTTTAAATAAGAGACTATCTAAACTCTTTTTAAAAACATACAATGATGGAGGGCCCACGATTTCTGGAGGCAAGCTGTTCCGCTGGTTAATTGTTTTCACTGTTAGGAAGTTTCTCCTTAATTCCAGGTTGCTTCTCTAATGTATTGTACAAATCCAGAAAAGCAGGCTAAGTGCATTGTGTGAACCAACTTGTATATTAAAAAGGCTATAATAAAGAAATGAAAATCTGGGAAATTCATTATGTTTCAGGCAACTACACATACATGAATTTGTCCCATAAACAAGAGTATGAAGCAAATTCAGTTTCCACTGAAGGCTGTAGGGAGAATGTGGGTGAATGCAGGAACTGAGAAAGTATGTCTCCCCAGATAAGAGTCAGCCCAAGGCAACGTACTGACATTTACAACAAAATCACATTTCCTTCCCCTCCCACCCACCACATTCCATGCTTAAAATGCAAGAAGAGTTCAGTTCAATTTTTCTTCAACCCTGAAGACATTTTCTTCCTCTACCCTCTAAGTCCAATAAGACTCAATATACACTTCTACTTTCCTGCTTTCCAAAACCAAAAACTGTGAACAAGTCTTTATCTATAGCAGAGATTTTCAAATTTGCTCAAGTTGTATGTCAAACCTGATTTTTTAAAAATCCCAAAAATAATCAAGAGGGTGGGAGCTTTGTATTTTAGCTGACAAACTCCCCTTTCTCTATACTGTATCTTAGTGAATAAAATTCAGGTAGTCCTTGACTTATGACCAGAATTAAGTCTAAAGGACTTAATTGCTAAGGAAGAACAGTTGTTAAGTAAGTCGCACCCCATTTTATGACCATTTTTTGCCACAGTTGTTAAGCAAATCAATGCAGTAGTTAAGTGAGTCTGGCTCCCCCCCCCCCGACTTTGCTTGTCAGAAGCCAGCTGGGAAGGGTACAAATGGTGATCACATGACCTCAGCACACTGCAACTGTCATAAATACATGCCAGTTGCCAAGCACTTGAAATTTGATCACGTGACCATGGGGATGCTACAGCAGTTGTAAGTGCGAAAAACGGTCATTAAGTCCCTTTTTTCAGTGCTGTTGTACGTTGAGGATTACCTGCATATGTAAGGTGCTTAGTATAGAGCTGATTTAGGAAAAGTAAATCAGCTCTATACTAAGCAAAAGTATGTTCCAGGTTGAGAATTACCTGTAATTAAAACTCTATGCAAAGAACCTGGGGGCGAGGGGGAGGTTTAGTCTCTTGTGGAGAGTTTTTCCTTATTCCTTGTGGCAAGGCTAAGGGAAAAAACTACTTTCTGTAAGGGCGTAAGGAAAAAGAACTTTATGCAAGATATCAAATTCAAGACTGGCAAAAGAGACTACAGCAGCCTGAGGAAACAGGTTACCTCTATCACGTTTATCGACCAAACTTCATTGATAGTGCAATTAGATGTGGTAAATGGTAAATGCAGCACATCATTTTATATATTTTAATATATGAATATGGATTTTTCTCTGAGCACAGTACATCATTTTATATATATTAATATATAAACTCTCACAGTTACTGTTTTTGAGCCAGGTTTCGCCTAATCTGTATTTGTATCTTTGTTTTTCCTGCCCAGGTGTAAAACCTTGCTTTTCTCCACATTAAAATTCATTTTAATGTTTAAATTTGATTTTAATTATTGAAATTAAATACACTGAAAGAAAGGAGTCCAACATCTTCCAAAGCATCAGTTTCATAATCTTCAAGCAACTCTTCCAAATCACTGCTAGTTGAATTTTGAATTGAATTGAATTTTGTGTTAATTGTCCTGGAAGAATTTTTTTAATCTCCAGTTTAGAATTATCTTGCATTACAGATATCAATTTCATATTCCCCTCCTTTTTTTCTTCTGCACTCTATCTACCTTTTTATTCACTATACAACTATGCACTCAATATCTTTATGGTTTTCATTTGGAGTTAACACTCCAAATTTGTAGTGCACAATAGAGGATTAATTAGGAAACTATATTAAAAAAAAATAGTGTAATTCCATAATTGTAATTGACATTTTTAAAAATCATTTTTTCTTTGTGCAGATGGCCTTGCCAGCTTCCGGAATTTCCTCCAATCTGAATTCAGTGAAGAGAACATTGAATTCTGGATTGCATGTGAAGATTATAAGAAGACCAAACTGCCTACCAAAATGGCTGAAAAGGCCAAAAAGATCTATGAAGAGTTTATCCAAAGTGAGGCTCCTAAAGAGGTTAGTTGTTTGCCATTAACAGAATGGAGATAAAATCCTGGCTTTTGTTAAGAATTAGGGAATTAATTTCTTGAAGGTGTCCTCATGATTAGGTTCCACTGGGTGCACACCTAAACACTTATCCCTTACATATCCCTTACAGAAGAAATTGCTGGTTTCTTCCAGTTCTATATTATACTGAACAAAAACTGTATTTGTGAATGTTACAAAATAGACATCAGAGACAAGTCTAAGGAAGGTGTGCAATGGAAGAGTGGTCATTAAAAATTACAGGATAAACAATGCACTGAAAGGTGATCCATCAATCATACAAAGCATACCAACACATTCCTACAAAGAGTCCAGTGGTGGGATTCAGACGGTTCACACCGGTTCAGTAGAACCGGTAGCTAACTTATTGTTCAGTTCGGCAAACCGGCTGAAAGCCCTCCCAGGCTGACTGAAAGAAAGAAAGAGGAAGATTCGTTCACATTTGGGGTTGAGAGGCAATAAAATCTGAAGGAGCTGGTTTGTCCAGGCATTCCGAGCAAGAGAGACATGTGTTTTAAGGAAGGAAATTGCCTTTTTCTCCCATGAAGCAAAGCTGCACCTTTCCCAAGAGAGCCGAGCAGAGAATTCCCCCATGAGGGGAGGGAGGGGGCTGTGAGGAGGATCCAACTGGGCTACGAGGGATCCCTGCAGATCCTCTCTGCCTCTTCCTGGTTTAGCTGAGGGTTTTAGAAGGCTTCCCTTTGGATTGGGGGGGGGTGTCTGTTTGTGATCCTCAAGGCTGCCCTTTGCCTCTTCTCATCCAATGCAGTAACTCTTCTTATGGCAGAAATCTTCATCTGTGAAATGAACGGGGGGGGGAGAGGGGTGTCCCAGCCATACTTCCAGCCCCAGAGGAGGAATTGGCGGTTCTGAATTGGGGGGATGAAGCGTTTATCTCGGACTTTTGAGATAAGAGGGGCCCGAACAACCAGCAGCAGTAATGGAAATTTTCCCTGCCTGCATGTCATTGGTCTCTGGGCAGAGTCCTTTGTGACTTCACCCGATGGAGGAGAGAGTTTGGCGCAAAGAGACAAGTGGAGAAATTGGGAGGGGGGGATGTGTTTAGTATTGGGAGGGAGGCTGCCGCTCAAGGTGAGGGTTCATGGCAGCCCCTGAAGGGATCCTCCACTTTCTGTGCTCTCTTCATGATTCTCAGCCAGTATGCATGGAGGGGTGGACTAGATGTCCATTTAGGTTCCCAAACTGCCCCAGGGAGCATTTAAAGGGCGCCTGGTCCTTGTCTGCTTGGGGGAGAGAAAGGGTCCCTGAAATGGGGGGACTGGGGGATTGGGCTGACTAAGGAGGAGAAGGGAGGGCCTAATCCGGAGAGAAGGTCTCCTGGGTGATGGGAGGGGAAGGTCAGCCCCACTGCCCGGACATCCCCCAGAGGCAGGGGGGCAGCTCCACAGTAGGGGCTGGCTCAGAGGCCAAAGGACTGCAGCTGAAACAGCCCATATCCAGAAAAGGCTCTTTCTCAAACATTCCTCAGGGGGAAATCTATTTTTCATAATCTGAGTATCCTAAGGACTGTCTCTGGCTGCTCTGTGGTTCCAACACCCTCCCCCCCCACTGTTGGCAGGGATCTTGATTGAAGCTCCCCCCACCTAAGCTGCCTGATGTCCACTGACCTTCTCCCGTCCATGGCTCTCAGGGCCACCCTGGGGCTTCTCTCTGAGTGGAACATTTTCCAAAAGGAGGGTGGTGTCAGCATTCCTTGCCCTCCCATCAGCTTGGAAAAGGGTCAGAGGAAAGAGATTTCTTTGCCATTCCCCCCCCCCTTAAGAGGAAACAGGGCCATTTGGGGATTATGTAGGAATCGGGGGCTGTTCCAGTTCATCTATGCAGGGGGGTACTTTTATTTTATTTCCTTTTGTTTTTCTTATGTCATAGTTTATAATCTTTTTTAGTCATAATTTATATAATGTATAAATAAAATCATAATTTATATTTAGATAAATTGAATAAAATAAAGGATAAAATGATACACATATAAATCATAGGCTCCATTGGAATAATCTGTTTAGGCTGAGTCTACTTCTTGTATAATGTATTCCCTGACAGATAGTTGCCCAGCCTGCAATTTGACATATTCAACAAAGATCAACCTTGTTTTAATAATTGTTTCTTGAGCTCATGTGATAGTGCTGTATATCACTTGTAAGAATAGTAAATAAACTAGATTCAGTGCCTGGAATGATAGAGGTATATAGGCAAGCTACGAAATTTCATTTTAATGTATGCAAATTAGTGTATGTTCAAAGTGACAATAAAGTTATTCTAATCTAATCTAATCTAATCTAATCTAATCTAATCTAATCTAATCTAATCATGGAGCCCATCCCTGTCCTCCAGCTCTGCCGCACATGTGGGACAAGCCTCCCGCGATAGCCAACCTGACCCTGGGACGAGCCGGATTGCTTCAGCTGCGAGGAGCCTGGCCTATGGTTTCCATCACCCAGGCTTCCTGAAGGTGATGGGAACTGCAGCCCACTGCAGCTGAAGAGTTTAGCTGAGCCACGAAATTGAACACACCAGTAAAGCAGTGATGCGCCCTGAGCGAGGAAGCGTTGTGAACTTTGAGGGTGCGAGTGTCTGTATTTCTGTGGCTCATGCATAGAATTCATACCGCGCCTTCTCATTGGAGTTCAAGGAGGCTAATCAAACAAATCATTTGTTTGAAAAATAAAGGGACGGATTACAATTTTATTTTTTTTTAAATTTGATTTATATGCCGTCCTTCTCCCGAGACTCAGGGCGGCTTACAATGCGCTAAGCAATAGCCTTCATTCTTTTGTATAATTATACAAAGTCAGCTTATTGCCCACATAAACTGGGTCCTCAATTTACCTACCTTAGAAAGGATGGAAGGCTGAGTCAACCTGACAATATTGATGATGAATGTAAATGAAAAGGCAATTTCCAAAGCTTTCCTCCCCCACCGAGTGAAACCTGGATCGGCTCCCAGAGCGGGACATCTCAGGACACCCAGCTTTCTTTCCCCGACTTCCGCAGAGGAAGATAAAGCCAGCAAAGCCTATAGGGCAGTGCAGGCTGCCTCCGGAGATTGCTTTGGGGTAGGGGTGAGAGAGAGAAGCTGATGGTTGAGGCTCCGGCCAGCCCCCACCTCCACCTGCCCATCAGATTCCCCGATCCAGGGCAGGGAGAGAAAAGATGCAGCCTCTGCTTGCATCCGCCCCCCACTTCTCTTGATATTCAGGCCACCTCGCAGCCCTAACATTCAAGCCCTAACACTAACCCTTTCGGTATATCGTTTTTTATACTTAAAATGGTCATTAGAGCAGAGAAACAGTTGTTAAATTATTTGAATCCCACCACTGAAAGAGTCCATGAGCTGGAAGGCAAGACAAGACACAAACTTCATTAGTGAGGTTATACACTGTCCTCTGAAGCACAAAGTGGTGGTAGAGTACTATTTTTAAAGTGGCATCTCCAAATTTAAGATTAAAACAGCATTGCTAGATTATGATCACAAAGCACTGGTGTTGACATTATGCAATTAGTGGAGGAAGGGTATTATTTTGCACCACTACCAGGGTTATATCATAATCCCTATAGTTGATTTGATGACAGTTAGCTTCATGTTTCTAACATTTCTAACAAAAAATATATTTATGTGAATCCAATGTTTCTTTTTTGACCTCTTGTTATAAATATTAAATGTATATTTATTTCAACTGTATTTTATCAAGGGATATTTATTAGCTATTATCTTCATATATGGAATTGCTATTAGCTTCATTTTTTTCCATCAAATGCCCCATGTAAAGTATATTGTTGGCTTGATTTATGTGAGATAATGTGTCCTATGTAATTCCTACAGCTATCTACTCTATCTCCCTCTTGTCAGGTGAATATTGACCATTTCACCAAGTCAGTGACCATGAAGAACCTGGTGGAACCATCTGTAAGCACTTTTGACCTGGCCCAGAAGAGAATCTTCATGCTGATGGAGAAGGATTCCCTGCCCAGATTTGTGCGATCCAACTTATATGAAGAGTTAATAAAATAGCAGTGTGGCGAGCTGTGCAAGGCATTGGTATACCAGCGCAGGGTCATTGCTTCCTCCAATCCCTAGTAATCAACATGTGTTATTTATATGGATAGTTGCTTTGCTTTGTATTTATTCCAAGGCTTTGAAAACTCAAAGTCTGTGTTGTTAAACATAGCGGCCATGCTCTACTGTTTGGTCTTTATTTTACTTCCTTACCTCTCTTTTTATCTCCATGACTCAATGTCACTGGCACAAAAATTGGCTTAGATAATACCCCAACCAAAAATATGACACCAATTATTTACATGCAAAAGACCAAATTGTTTGTATGACCTTCTGTCTGCCTTTGATATCAAGTTTGTAGAATCAAGGATAACCCAGATTTTAGAATCTTAGGGATATACCATCTGTCCTAAAAAGAATTCTGACCTGGGTAGCCTACAAACATTGTTCAGTTAGCAAGTTAGTAATCAGATACACAATATACACATAGTTTTCAATCCATGTGACAAATATATGTTATTGCTACTGATAAGCAATCATAAGTTAACCAGTAACTTCACAGTATCATAGACAAAATAAAGGCGAATGCAACATGTACTAAAGAAGGACAAATCAAGCCTCTATGTGTCACATATCACTCATAGCTATGGAGAAGATAGAAAACACCATGACTTAGTCAAGGGAACACACAACAAAAATACAGCCATAAAAACCATGTCTTTTGCTTTTTAGATATTCCCTCAGTGAACTGTATTTCATATTACTACCAGAAATAATGCTCTCACAATATTTTAACTCAATAATTTAACAGGTAAATATCTCATTTGACTGCATCCATTTCTGATGACAGCTAGTATTTGCTATGTTGTTATGAACCAATGGAAACTAGTAAATATCAGCATTTGCAACATAAAGTAAGGAAATATTTAACAAATCCCTCAAATGAAACCAAGTTACCTTAATATGAGAATCCTTGAATTATATTTGCAGTTTGTAGCAAGAAAGTGATGATTTTGGGTTTATGAAAAAAAAATCCTAAAGTTAATGATATGTGAAAGAGCAATTATATATTACTGGAATTAAATAATCAGAGTTAAGTGGTTGATCAAAATCCTGAGCTGATTTGTTACTATTGATAAAAATAATAAATTGACAGATACCCTCACAGCTAGCAGACAATAGACATCATACAATAATGAAACAATTACAATATCCATTTTTAAATAAAAAGTTTCTTCATAGAAGCTGAAGAATATTGATCTGGACAATTTGTCACCCATCAAAGTAAATGCATCCCACTAAAATTTGTCCACTACTTCATTAAATCTTCTATTTTTTGCAGATTTAATCAATCAATAAAAATCAGATTTTAAGATTCCTGTGGAATATTCATAGTTTAGGCGATTTCAGGTTGTGAAAGTTCTATTATTAAATAGAGAATAGAGAATATTCACTCTTGGAATAGCAGTGATGGATTCAGAATCCATTCTGCAGTGCTAAGAATGTGAGATAAATTCAAACCCTGTGCTAAATGGCTTTAGGGAAGGGGTAAGACTGAATAAATCAGTGGACCTGCCCAAACAGTATGATTTGTTTAACAACCCAGACCTTTTGTTACTTCTCTTCTTTTCCATATTAAATTTATAAGTGTTATATTTTTATAATGGCCCTGCACAAATTCCAGTGCCCATGCACAGCTTTAAATATAATCCCTGAAATCTACTTATGAATTACGATAAAAATATTTAAGCCGAACCTTAAGATGAACCTCTGTCTGTAGCACACTTCCCAAAGTATTATTTTACCACACACTTTAATCATAAGATTTAAATCTTCTTGTAATATATGTACTAGTAAGATCAAGGTATTTAGCCTGCAGTGACATGAATAGAAAAGGCATCCAGATAGAGTTGAAAAAATGCATTTATTTTTTTTTTAAAATAGACCAATTGTACTAGTCTAAAAATCAGTTTACAGTCAAAGCCTCTACTTTGTAAAATACTAGTCAACCATTCAATATAGATGAGAAATCTTTCAATGCTGTTTGCCCATCACCATTGGCTGTGGTGGCTGTGCCTGATGGCCAGGGCGATTTCATGTCATGGCAGGATGTGCACAGAAGTCAATTTCAAGTTGACAAGTTGTCTAACATCATCCAACTGGAGGTTAATTTAAATTCCTCTATAATATTTTTTCTGATTTTTTTTCTCAGAGACGCAAATGGTTGTAATATTTTATTTTTTATCAAAAGGGGAGGTAAGCCATAATTGCTACCATGCCCCTCATATGATCTAGTGGAGCTCATGCAAAAGATGGTCAAACTGAATTGGGCCCAAATACTCCTTATGTGGTTTAGGTTTTTTCCTGCATCCTGAGCAGCAAAAAAAAAAAAGAAGAAAAAAGAAAAGAAAAACAGTGGGGGAAGGGGGAAGGGGACCCAAGTGCTCTGCATCCCTTGGGGTTTTTTTTCTTACTTTATCTTTCTACACCATCAGTATCCTCTTCTTACTCATTAGGTTTCAGTTACCTCATTCCTGCCCCATAATATTCAATTTTCCAACTGCTAAGTGCTAGTCTTTAACACTTAGGCAGCCAATCCAACTACCAATAGTGACCCAGATCTAAATAGCACTGGATCCTGCATCTCTCTTCTTAGAGTGCTCTTTAACAATTGAATGAGCATTTAATATCTTAAAAAAATGTAGATTTGGCCTGTTAAATATATCCAAAAAGATAAGTACCAGAAAATTTCACCAGCCAGGTCATCATTTCCAATTCTCTTGAACTGCTTAATAAACAACATCTGTTTCCCCAAGCTAGAAATATTAGCAAACTATCAAATTGAAAGGAAATACCACAGAACAACTACTCTACAATCTTCTTCTCTTGAAAAAAAGATTAAAAAATGAGAGATTGAGCCTTGTGAAATTGTGAGGGGATTATGTAATTATTTCCAGGGTCCATTTTTGAGAGCACGTCCATCCTACTGACTCACAAGTCATTAAGATCCTGGAGGGAGATTTTCCAGTTACAGCTCAGCAACTGGTGCCCTAGGCAAACCAGGCAGTTAGTTCCCCACTCTCAAACCCTAAGGGTAGATTTCTGTCCTGAAGTCTGAAGGAGTTTGTCAATAAGTTTAACCCAGCAGTCTCCTTACTTGGCTCTATGATATCCGTGTTGACGTGAAGTGAAATAAACAAAGGTTCAACAAGTTTGTTAAAATTGTAGTAAAAAAATAACTTATAAATGTTGCTTCCACACTAATAGGCTAAAATATCATGCATGGCTAAAGATTAGGATTAAATCTCAGCAACATCATGAGAATTAAAAAGTTATGCATCATTTTTTTCCTAACTTCACTGCACAGAATATATTGGGCTAAATTCTCTCCATGCATCTAAAAATGGAAATATTTAGGTATGTTATGTCTCTTGAAGTGGGTATAGGAATTGGATTTAAATTTATATCAGAACATGATAATTATACAGACTTCTCTAGTTCATTATTATATTATTCTCAGTGGCTATTGTGGGTTCGGGCTCATTCTGGATAGAAAGCAATGTGATTATAATTGTACAAGATTTAAATCAGTTGTGGCTATGAAAATTCTGTACAAAAGATTTACCTTTAGGAGTTCTCCTATTTTAATTTCTTATAGGTAAAATATATTTATAGACCACAGTTTTAAAGCAGCTTCAAAATCAAATATACTCAGGGTTTGAGAGTGGGGAATCATCTGCATGGTTTGCTTAGGGCACCAGTTGCTAGCAACTGGATTAGAGACATCACTGAGGGTGGCTTATTAGAAGCACATTTCAGACCTAGTGTTCCTCAAGGTATGGCATGGGATGTAGGTTCAGATGGTCCAATATACTTTTCTCTTGTCCACCCTGCCTCTTCTTTAAGTCCTGGGTACATGGCACAAATGAGGTCCTCATATTTTATTCTGATACCAACAACTCTATGAGGTAGGTCAGGCTGAGCGAAAGGAAGCTGTTGAAGGCTGTCCAACAAATTTCCTGACTGATTTTCAACATCCAAAGCGCAATACTACAGGGGACAATCTGCTTCTCATTTCAAAGCCACTATAACAACTAACAGCTGAGCAGCACTTAATAAAACTAATGGAATACTCTCAAACATTCTTCATATTTGTAATTGCTATCCAAGACCAAAAGATGTCAAATACAAAGAAAGATATTAGTTTCAAAGAAATTTAGGGTGCTGTGCTCTACAACAATGGATTCTCAGTAGCAATAGCACTTGGATTAACATACCGCTTCACAGTGCTTTACAGCCCTCTCTAAGCAATTTACCAAGTCAGCATATTGCCCCTGACAATCTGGTTCCTCATTTTACCGACCTTGGAAGGATGGAAGGCTGAGTCAGCCTTGAGCCGGTGAGATCGAACTGCTGAACTGCAGGCAGCTGGCTACTTCTGCCTGCAGTACTGCATTCTAACTACTGCGCCATTATGGCTCCAGTAATCTCCAAATTGCTGTCAATAATAAATTCTCTTGATATTCCCAGATTTTCTTTAATTGAGGGTATTTTTTGAATGGGAAGGAGATAGAGACAGGGGAAAAAATTACCCCATTTCCTTTTCCATTTTTTTTTAATGTGTTGCTTATCATATAAGCAGACATCCATTATTTTGATTTGGTCTAGCAGATAGAAGTATCCATAGCAATGGTCACTGGCTTCAGCTTGGCAGGTGCAACTAGTCAAATGAAGCCCCATACCTTTTTACATGCATGCAATGTGTACAATGCTAAAATGTGGCAGGGTTTAAGTCACCTGGTGCTGCCCACCATTTTGGAGGCAGTGAAAGGAAAACATTCATCACATGGTATAATAACTTTATTGTGAACTGGGGAAAATCAGGTAAATCAGAATTGCAACTTTGACACATTGCACATTATTCTCGCAAGAATTTCACTTAAAGATTCCATTCAAAATTATGTCATTCTTTGGTTTGCCACAGCAAATACAAATGTGAAATGTTTCCTGATATTTGAGACATATTTTAACAATATCAGTAGATCCAAACTACTGTTTACTTTTTGGTAATCGAGATGTCCTGCCAGACATAAACTTCCAATCTTTCCCATAAAAGTAGAGTTGTAAAACATGTTTGTACTCTATTTAATTTTGAAGGCCGTGCATGTCATACTGTGTGTGAGGGATGGGAGGAGTGGAGGGAGATAAAAAGAGAAGATTGCAGATTTTTATTATTATTATTTTAGATCCTGCTAGTGAGATGGTGGTCTTGTTATAGCTGATATATTATTTATCCTATGTTGATTATTAAATAACACACATTAGTTACATATTTATATTCATCTTACTTTTTTATTATTGCTTGTAGGTTTATATATAATAAATATTGTATCAGGGTTCCAAGTAACAATCCCAAAGCAATCAAAACTCTGAGGCCTAGAGTTTCTTCAAAGCATAATTTTATTTGGGATGTCATATTGGCACGGCTGGTGAACACCCAACTCTGAAGGACCTGGAGTTTTCCCCACCAAAATCAAAACCCAAAGTTCTTGCCCTCAGGTCACATGTCCATCATGTGGTCCAATCAGGTCGCAGTCCCAACTCCAGCTGGCTTTGGTCCACGCCCTTCCAACACCTGGTAGAACATCCTTGGCTTCCATGGGAAAGAATGTATTTTGGCTACACATCCCCCAGCTATCTCTACTTCCCCCATCACGTTCCCACAGCTCCATCTGGCCTCGCTATGGCAGCCCTGAGGATGCTCCGAAAATGGCTTCAGGGCTGACATATTGGCAAAGACTTCTAAATTCTTCTCCTGCACAAACTACATGAATGAATAGAATGTAGACAAGTTGTATTCTTCCGACACTTCTATTCATTGCCTTCAGGCTGAGCAGAAAACTTTTCCAGTAGATTTAACTATGTAATAACTTTTTTTCTAAATTTGTATGGTAACTTTTGCTAGAGTATAGTAATTTGTGATTTGAAAAGTGCAAATCACAGATGGATGTCAGATTAAAAATATTTAACCAGCTTTTCATCCAGTCTTAAATAAAGCATGTCCTACCATTCTATAAAGTGCTTGTTGTTTTGTGCAATACTGTTAGGCAACTGCCTTTAGGAAACATAATAAAGGCATACAAATACAAAAATAAGCCTCTGTTCTGTACATCAGTGCTTCGTCCCTCCATTCCGCACCCTTCTTCTTCAACAGCAGCCTACCATTCATCCTCTGTCAACCTCTGGTTGGTTACTCTATACATACAGTTAGTATCATTTCATTTAGATCAGGGCAAAGAAGCCATAGAATTAAGAGGTGAGGCCAGGTAGTTTGGTAAGCGGAAACAGATTGAAAACAAGGCTTGGAGGAAAGCAAATGCAGGGCCATTAATGCTGCCTTGGTAAATCTACAATCCCCTTAACTTCTCGTATATCAAGACTAGTTGATAAACTGTAGAGGGTTGAAATTAGTTCATGCAGAACGTTGAAAGCAGTATGAAAGAAGTGTCTTTTCTATTATGAAACACCCATAGAAGCTCAATGTGTCTCCAAGCTGCTAATGATAATGACACATATTTTAGCTTTTGAAACTTGAGAAATAGAGCTACTGCAAAACCAACTGGAGCAGTGCTGGTAAACTTATAACATATGTAGGTGACATGCCCTATTTTCCAACAACAATTATTCTCAAAAGCAGGTTCTTAATGCAGTCTCCGGAAACTAAGAAGGCTTCATGACAAACCCTCATAGGTCACACGAGACATCTGTGCTTTTGTGTTGCCTGTGAAGCCTCTGAAAATCAGACAAAATATAGGGTGTGCTTTTAGGCGGTTTTCAGAGGTTGCAGAGGCCGTAAAGAGCATTCCCCAAAACTGTTAAAAAACTGAAAGGGTCCCTGAAGGATCAGAGCTGAAAGGCTTAAAACATACACAGACTGTAACCTAATTCAGCTTTTGTTAATTGCTGTTGAAAGAAGCGCCATTGTAACCTAATGTGCCAACTGTATAGATAAAACTTCTAGGCGAATTGCCAAGCTTAACCTAGCAAAATAACTTCTTGTGAAAAGTAAAATGTGGATTCTGCCAAGTAACCTTGCTTGTAACTGAAAATGTGTGTTCAGCATTCCCTAACAAAGTTCTAACTTATAGGCCAGAAAATGGATTTCTTTCCCTTTCTAAAGTCTATTATTTTCGGAGCGCTGAGAAAAATGGTGAAATTCATGTGATATGAAATTATGTTTCTATAGCAATGACATTATGTGCAAGCTGAGTGAGCTATAAGATGTTTGGAAAAGTTTTTTGCGTGCGCCTGCTTTTCTCTCTGCCTGCTCTGTTAAGGTAGGAGACAAAAAGGCCGTCTTTTGCTTTCTGCAGAAAATAAAAGCTGATTACAAAATGAAGGCTTCGTGCAACTTGGAACAGCCTCAAGTAGGCCGCAGAGGCCTGTCAATGGAGAGAGAAAACACCACCTGAAGGTAAGTGATGCAAAGCAAATCTTGGGCTGCAGGGACAATCATGCTGTTCCCCAAGGCTCATATTCGCCTTGGAGAATGGTGCCAGGTGGCCTTTTCAAGTGGCAGCAGTGGTGTTAGGGGGTGAAGTGGGCTATTTATGGCTCAGCCTTGTGAGGGCCATGCAGGATGGCCTTTGTAATACTTGTAATATAGGCTTTGTAGCACTGTTGCCCTGGTTAAATAACATGGGTTTTCTTGTATTTTAATTGTCCTTATTTGTGTACTGTTAATAACTGGCCATAAGCCTGGGATTTTGCTGAAGTGCTTGGTACATTATAGATAAAACATTTTCATTTTCAGCCATTCCCAAGCAAGAAGGAACAGAAGAAGCATTAAGCCCTGTGCTGAGAAACAACTGTGATCTTTACCAATACACATTCTAACGGTTTTCCCTGGCAAATGTTTCTTTTTTACTTTTATTCAGAATACAATGCTCTTTTCAATCTTTATGCTTACATATTATTGGATACTTTATTTTTATGATGAAACTGGACAGATGATTTAATCAAATTAAATCATCTAATTTAATCAAAATGTTCTTTTAAAAATAAAAAATAAACTTTAAAAAATTATGCTAAATATAAAGGGGAAGATGTGTTTTCTTTTTCGCGTTCTCTCTCTTGTATAAAGGAACCCTTTTTATCTCGGAACATTTCACATAAATCATAAATTAAATGATCTTTCTGTCTTTCTGTCCCGCAAACTGAGATCCAGCAAACTGAGGCACAAATCTAGAGCCATATTTGGCCATCAATTGGTAGTGCTACAAAATACTACTGTTCATGCTGGCCTAGATGGCGAGGGAGGGGGGGGCAGAGAGAGAGGGGGGGGAGGGAGAGACAGACAGAGAGATAGAAGAGTCAGATTAGGCATTTTTCAATTTTTTGAAAAGTCAAGTCCAAAAGGTTTGCCGTCAGTGTAATAGAGGGACAGATTCTGAATCTGGAATGCACTGGCCTAGATTTAGCCATTTTTGATATTAGGAGCCAAATCTGTGACAGTTGGAGTTAACTTTTTCCTGATTAAAGTTTTTCTATAAGTGATTGTTTTGATACTTACGCAAATACATGCATTAACTAAGACATCTTATGGAAGAACTGACTACATATCTCTTGTCCTGTATCCAGCTCTGTTGGCTCATCCATCAAATAAAAAACGGAGTGGTTTCCCAACATACTTTGCAAACAGTTCTCTCCAGGCATGCATTACAGGTTATTTGGAAATAACTTTGGGGGGGGGGGGGGAGAAAAATCCTGCTTAATGAGCAAAATGTCTCAAAGGGGATTTAGGACAACAGGACCTTGAGTATGCCATATTTGTGTGTGTGCCTGAAAATAATAATCTTTACATTGCAAACTACAGTTATTTCTAGAGGGAAAAGTTGAATTTATCAATCAAATTTTAGAGCAAAGCTCTTCAAAATGTACTCTGACAGACTAAATATCACAAAATGCTTGATTCCTGAAAATGTATTTTATTTTTTAAGATAATGATCTAGAATGCCTTTGAATTTCATGTAAAAATCAATGTGACTAAAGTGATTTTCGCTTCAAAATTTATTGTATTCTGAGACTTCCCTATGTATATTCCATCACATTGTTTTAAGTAATTTTATATGATATTGATTAAATTTATTTTCCAAAGATTTTCATTATATGAAGTGCAAATATTTGTTGAGAAAGTTGTTTGCATAGATTAGTTTCAACGGGTGGACTTAATATTGCAAGAAATATATGGGAAATATTGGGTTACCAATATAATTGGTAATTACCCATAAAAATAATATTTTATAGGAAAAAATATTTTAAAGTGAATATTCTGAGGGCATAAACTGAGCCTCTCAGAATATTATTACTTTGAATCAGCTGTGTTATGAGGGAGCCATTTTAAAAACATTTTTCACAGAATTAAAGTATGGGCTTGATTTATTTCAGTGTGCTTTCTGTCCGTTTACAGGACTTAAGGATTTTTGTTTGGTTTATATCTGCTCCAGATGTTATTTCTATTTTTGGAGTCTAAAAGTGGGTGGAGGTTTTGAAAGACTTGCTTGAACGACTTGCTGGGGCTCCTAAATAGTAACCTTTTTTAAAAAAGCAAATCAGTGAAGCCGATATTAGTTGTTAACACAACCTGTAGATTAATTGGATTGAAGGTCATTTGATAAACTAAGAGAGAATGAATTTCCTATGTTCTTAAAATGAGATTAATACAACAACCACAGTTGGGATGGGTTGCAATCACACAGTGTGAGACGTGATTCATAAACTGGAATATTAACTTATATATCTTGTTTAATTATTGTTACTACTAGAAGAGAATATTTGCAGTTTAGGGTTGAACTGTGTGGTTCTTGGTGCTCTCTGAGCTGGGCTATTTTCTTGCAGATGTTTCATTACCCAATTAGCTAATATCATCAGTGCTAGATGGGAGTGGGGTTTGCTCTCTTTTTATAAAGTAGATGCTTGTCCTGTCAATGTTGGTGGGAATGTTATCCTTTGGCTTCACATCAACAGGATTGTCACTATTATTCTGACTGATTGCTGTGCACTAAAAGCCCCCAGGAATAGGCGCCTATCAGGCTATAGGAATGGGGGGGGGGGGGGGCTAAACTGTAGATGTTTAACTGTGGAGTTTTAATGTTATACACCGCTTGTGGAATCACCTGTGTGTGAGCTACATAAATCTGTTTAATAAATTTTTTAAAAAGAAAGAGTTGTACCATAGATTTTTAAAAGTTAAAGACTATGAAACTACTCTGATGAAAAAAATTACTCCTGATTTGTAGTAATGGAGTGTTGATATCTGTTGTTTGGCAACATATATATTATGGGTTTTTTAACATAACATAATATTTTTACAGTTTCTTTTTCTTTTTCTCCTTTTTGTCATCATTGTTATTAATTCTGGAGTTTTATTGTTAAGTTTTTGCATGTATTTACACTTTTCTCTGTTAACCTGCTTAACAATTAAAAAAGAAACAAAAAACTAAAACCAGCACCTCCTAATGTATCTGAGGGAGATGGGTGGTTTAGAAATAGGGAAATGTAATTAAACAAACAAACACAAACAAAACAAACAAACAAACAAACAAACAAATAATCCATGACCTAATTCTCATTACCATATAATGCCCCAGCACACTAGGCTAGCTTAATGGTTGTTTAGCTAAACATAGCATAGTACCTGAAACAACTGCTGGTTAAACTGTGCAGTTCAGCTGATCTAGTTATGAAACTATGCATAGTCAATTAAAATTGGGCTTTGCAAAAAGGCTAAATAATTACAGATGAGATTTCAATTTCTTTTCAGCTATGCGTAATAGTTACTGTTTTATGACTTTCCTCACGTACAGCAGCTCTGTTGAAATGTAATGGTGTCATGGCCTTTGCTGGGACTCAGTTTGATTTTAAATTGTGTCTTACTCCAAAAACCAGCATTTATTTTGCTATGCACTGATAATAGTCTAACCTAATAAGGAAACATTAGTTTTACATTTGCTTTATTCATATATTGTTTATTATAGAATTCATTTCATTTTCTTTCCTCAAGATGAAAGCCTGTCAACATTCCGATTAAGGGATGACAGCTAGACCGATCCTTGGTGATCGCAGTCCAATCACTTCATCACAAAAATAGAAAAACTGGAGACAAATGTCTGACTCTGGATTACAAAGGAAGTTTAGAAGAAAGAAGAGTTTATTCTAACATGCAGTTGGCTGCTTTTTGCATTGTTGGAAAAAATTATGCAGTAGGAAAAAAAACCCCAGAAATTTATCAGAAAAACAAAAAAGAAACACCATAGAAATTAGTATTTTTTTTCCTTTCAATCATATTATATAATTTCATTATTGTATAACATATGATCTTTTATTTTTTTTGCATTAGCAGTGTATTATGGTATCCAATTACTTAACTGGTTAAATGCACTGATACTTGAATTATTTTTTCTGCAGTTCTAATTATCAGTTGAAGTCTGTGTCTGTCTTGTTGGGTTGCAGAACCAAACAAGACAGTTATGGAGGTGCAGAAGACAGACTCATTAATTCCTCTGTAGAACTGAATCAGCAGCTCTTTGGGCAGTTTGAGCTTCCTGAGTTGGTGCAAAAAGAACATTCTTCGTTGTGCTTTTTTGATGACGTTTTTGACGTTAGGTGTCCATTTTAAGTCTTGAGATATGAAAGAACCTAGAAACTTGAAGGTCTCTACTGTTGATACTGTGTTGTCTAGTATTGTAAGAGGTGGTAGTATAGGAGGATTTCTCCTAAAATCTACCACCATTTCTATGGTTTTGAGTGTGTTTAGTTCAAGATTGTTCCAGTTGCACCACAAGGCTAGTTGTTCAACCTCCCGTTTGTATGCAGATTCGTTGTTATCTCAAATGAGACCAAACACTGTGGTATCATCTGCAAACTTCAGTACTTTAACAGAGGGATCTTTTGAGATGCAGTCATTGGTGGTGTATCTAGAGAAGAGAGGTGGAGAGAGCACACAGCCCTGGGAGGCTCCTGTGCTAATTGTACAGGTAACTGATGTGATTTTGCCTAGCTTCACCTGTTGTTTCCTGTCTGTTAGGAAGCTTATGATCCATTTACAAGTGTGGTTAGGTATAGCAGCTGATTTAGTTTAGTTAGAAACTGGAATGATGGTATTGAATGCTGAGTTGAAGTCTATAAAGAGGATTTTAGATTTCTTCATAATGAAGATACTCGAATTTAATGCATGAATGACAAAGGAAATTATTTTTACAGATAGTCCTCGACTTACAACCATTTGTTTAGTGACCATTCGAAGTTACGGTGACACTGAAAACTGATGACCATTTTTCATATTTATAACCATTGCAGTTGGTCATATGATCCAAATTCAAACACTTGGCAACTAACTCATATTTATGATGGCTGCAGTGTTCTGGGTTCATGTGATCACCTTTTATGGTCTTCTGACAAACAAAGCCAATGGAGAAACCAGATTCACTTTGCAACCATGTTACTAACCTAACAATGCAGTGATTCACTTAACAACTGTGGCATCAAGGTTTATTAAATGTGGCAAAACTCACTTAACAACTGTATTGCTTAGCAATCAAAAGTTTGGGCTCAGTTGTGATCATAAGTCAAGGACTACCTGCATCTCAAATGTATTTTATGGAAGGAAAGTTGTCTTATCCATTATTTCCAAGACACCAGTGTTTTCCTTCCTTGCCAATGTTTTCCCTCCCTCCTTCTCGTCTTCTTTTCCCCTGTAATTTAAATTTTTGCCTGTTATGCTTTTGTTCTCTTTTTCAGTTTGAAAACAATAGAAAGGTACCTGGGGACTGTATTGAGAAGGAGAGCTATGCTATCTATGCGTGTGTGTGTGTGTGTGTGAGAGAGAGAGAGAGGGAGGGAGGGAGGGAGGGAG